ATAACATTACCTTCCTAAACTCGGGTGCACATTTATGTGACCGAAATCCAAATCTCAACGAAGTCGAAATATGTCAACAACCACGGGTGCATTTATGTGACGTGGTTCGAGACACGTTTTCACGATGTTGCAATTCTCGTTAAAATAATAATAAAAGCGGTTTACAGTTAAAAGCACATAAGCTAAAATATGTTTTGAAATCAGATAAATCCAAATATAACAGTTGAGCGACCGTGCTAGAACCGCGGAATCCGGGAATGCCTAACACCTTCTCCCGGGTTAACAGAATTCCTTACTCGGATTTCTGGTTCGTGGAATGTTAACAGAGTCATAATTTCCTCGGTACGGGATTCAACCGGTGACTTCGGACACCATAAATCTCCCAAGTGGCGACTCTAAATTTTAATAATAAATCTCGTTCCGATTGTCCTTTAAGTGGAAAAACTCATTTACACCCTTGCGAGGTGTAGTAAAAAAAGAGGTGTGACAGTGGAATTATGTGATCCCTTCTTTGATCTTTTCTAGATTCAGCTTGTACTGAGGTTAGTCGGTGAGTTGGACCATTGAGGTCATCCTCATCTGCTCGGACCTCGACACAATAAGCATTGTGGATTTCATCCCAAGTGGTTGGGGGATAGTTCATCAACCGACTCAACAACTTTCTAGTTTCTCTTGAACCATCTCTACTCAGCCCGTTATGAAAAGCTGCGACCGCCATCCCTTAGGATACGTTTGGCAGATTCATCCTTACTTAGTGAATCGGGCGAGGAAGTCCCTTAGTCTCTCTCCCAGAGACTGCTTAATAGTAAATATGTCGTTCACTCTCGCCCCGGCCTTCTTGGCTCCGGTATGGGCCGTTACGAACTTGTCGGCCATTTTTTCAAAATTTTCTATGGAGCGTGCAAGTAGCTGCGAATACTATGTTAAAGTCCCTCCTGTGAGGGTTTCGCCAAACTTCTTCAGCAAGATGGAAGACACATGTTCTTTGGGGAGATCATTGCCTTTCACGGCGGTGACGTAATAAGTCACATGATCTTCAGGGTCGGTCGTGTTGTCGTATATCCTGAGGTAGGGCGTCATTTTGAAGGTTTTTTGTATGGCATGTGAGGCTGCATCAATACTGTACGGCTGCTTTATGAACCGGCCAGCATCCATTTTCGGCAGCAACTTAGGAGCGCCCGGTATCTTATCAACCCGTTCTTGGTGTTCTTTCATCTGATCTCGGAGCGCCTTGTTTTCATTCTCCATTTCTTCCATCCTTTTAGGATGGCCGCGAGGGCGTTGTCACCTGCATTATCAATGACATTATGAGTTATACCTGTCGTTGAAGGGGAGGGCTGGTTGAATTGCTCGTCTGTTTGTTGTATTGTGTCAGTCCTTGCGGTTTTTGCAGTCGAGCCTAGAGCAGGTTTGTTGAGGATGCTTGTTAGAATTTCAGTCAGCCATGCCTCAAGGAGTTTTTTTACAGCTGGAGGTACCCCTTCCTCTACATACATGGAGGCTCCTTTACCACGGAGTTTGTTATGCTGCAGTGTGGGGGGGCGGTGATCCATCTTACCTAGGGGACACACTAGGCGTCATGTCTTCACCTGCCGTTTTGCAGCTTTTGTTGATGACATTCATGAGGTTGATTGGGAAGTCACTTGCTATCCCCACCCTTTCTTCTCGGTTACCTGGCACATAGAATTTTGCACCAAAAAAAGGAGATCTTGGGTTTTATGACGTTAGTGACCTGCGTTAGTTGTAGATCTAGAGGAAACTAAAAATTTAACTAAGAAATCCCCACAGACGACGCCAAAATTTTTGACCAAAAATATAAATCTTGGTTCAAATAATTAAATTTATGTAAACAAGGGTTAATCTTAGCTAACAATAATATCCTTAGATCTTAGTTTTAAAAGAAGCAATAGATATCATATAGATTTGGACGGACAGTAGCAGTATCACGTAATAAATGCTCTGAAAAAACAGGAACAGTAATGTAGCATACAATATTTAATGAACAACAATAAATTGCATTTAAGTAAATAGGAGGAATGATTCACTCAATAAAGGATGGAATAAGTGGATCTTCCTCCTGACCATGACTGATGGATAAATCCTCGAATAATCGAGGATTTCTCGAATCTGATGGTAAAGTATAGACAAGAATTTCAATGAAAAGGTGATGTTTGTTTCGCGTGAGAGCCAAATATTTTGAGTCAAAGTGATTTTTTTTACAAATGAGTATCACATGCTCCCTATCATGTCTCTTTTTCTATTTATATGGGACATGTTCCTAAGAAACCCTAATAGTACAAGTGCAGAGAATATCTACTAGAATATTCTCTTTAATATCCAATCTTGAAAACTAGCCGTTACAACTCTATCAACGGTACTCGACCTCAACCTTGACCCTTGTTGACGCCTCGACTACGGCTCTCGTCGACACTTCGACCACATGATTTGCGACTTCTTGGACCATCTTGACAAATGATGATTTGAGGATTCTTCCCTTTGTATTATCATGGCCTAAATATTCTAAAGGCGGATTTTAACCCATACACAGAGCCGGGCCTATGTACAGAGAAGAGGGATCACCGGACCCTGTTAATCTCGGTAAAAGATCTAGATATATAAGTACATATATGTTGAAAATGATTATGTATTTTGCCTGTAATCATTAGGATTAAAAGTTTGATGGGGCACTGGTTGAGCAGTCCACTTATGTAGTCCACTGGTTGAGCTATGTCAATTATTCTTCAAACTGAACTGGGGGTTATCCAGAACATGTCCGGCAACCTCATTGTTGGGAACGTCTTCGACCTTGACGTACATATCCAACATTTTGATTACAAGAAATTTCCGGTATTCATCCGGAGTACTCAGAAAATTCCTCAAAGTTTCATCATCGTAGATGTTTAACTCCGAGTAAAAAGCAGCCCCTTGCGGAGTGACGGAATACCGATATCTTCCGGTTACTTTAAGTATCACTGAACGTTTCCTCACACTTATTTTTTTGCATAACAATGATATCAATTTATCGTACTCCATTGTAACTGGTAATTTAACATGGCCCTGTGGAGATAAACTATACCTCACAGAGTTATTCTCCATCACAACCTCACCCCCCCCCCCCCCAATATAATGAAACTCTTATTCTACGCTCTTCAGACATTACGAAAAAAATGCTTAAGAATTTAACAAGAAAAAATTGAATGGGAGTTAGAATTTTTTGTGAATGAATTTTCCTAAAATCCTAACCACTTTATATAGGAAATGGCTAGTCCGGGATATGGAAATTTTTTTATGTATAGCGTTCTTTGAATATACGCTATACACATTTAAATTATTGTTATGTCAGTTAATTTATTGGTGGGTCCAATATCAGGGGTATAGCGTGTTGTTTTTGTACGCTATATGTATAGCGTAAAAATTCAGCACGTTATATATGTCAGTCAAATCGTCAGTCTATATAGCGTCCAAATACAAGACGTTATACCTTAACGGCAAAAGTTACCGTTAAGGTATAGCGTCTTGAATTTGGACGTTATATATAGAAAGGTAATTTTTTTTTCACTTATTAATGTAGTTTGAATCCAAAAGAACCACAATTGGGTTCCGGACTCGCGTTTTAGGGGGAGTACTGCTTGTGCGAAACTGGCCAACTTTTCCTTTTAATAGCAGGAATTATTACATGTTAAGTTTTGTTTTTTTTTCTAGGCACTTGGGGCTTTCTTTTTTGGAACATTTACCAAAATGTTGGTCGAATTTACTGTTTAACATAAATTATACAATGATCTTATACGGGTACACATCTGTTATATATGAATTACACATATATATACAACTGCGTGTTATTTTTAGTTTAAGTGGTTGGGTAGACGACTATTTAAGTTCATTCTTCTTTTTTTAAAACTTATTATTTCTTCGATCTTAATTTATGTGATGCACTTTGACTGGCATGGAAGTTAAGAAAAAAATAAAGAATTTTAAATTGTATGGTCTAAAACATGTCATACATAAAATGGAAAGTGCATCACATAAATTGGAAAAAAAAAAAAAAGGAATTAACAAATTGATATCCAGAAACCCATCCAAGAATTGTTGCCCTTTTATCCACCGAAAGTATAGTATAAATGAACTTTTGTATAATCAATGCAACTTAACCTACTATAAGAATTTATTCGTCTTATTTTTTGGGTTACTAACTTGATTTGGTAATTATTGTAATTACCTTTAGTTACATTTTAATGATCTCATAGTACTAAAAAAATTACATTGGACGTGCATAGAAGTTAAAACCCTTTCTTTTTCTTGTTAGTGCCCGTTTGGATTGGCTTATTTTAAGTGCTTTTAAGCCAAAATAATTTTTAAGTCATTTTGTAGTGTTTGGATGGAGTAAAAAAAATACTTTTAAGCACTTGTTTTTAAGCTAAAAAGACAAAAACAAGTCAAAAGCTAAAAGCTAGAATTCCTAACTTATGGCTTAAAAACTATTTTGGCTTAAAAATCACTTAAAATAAGCTCATTCAAACGGGCTCTTAGTTGGGTGCTAACTGCCCTTTTTCTCATATACCGTTTTCCCATTTAATAGTTCACATACTTTAAACCACGATAGAAATAACATTGGGGAAAAGAGGGCGAAGCGCAGCAATAGCACTTTTAAGCGCGATATTTAAAACATATTCATAATTTATAATATATTTAAAGATTAACCAATTCACCCAAACTTCAGGACTTAGTGTCCTGGATTTTGAGCTGCTAACTTGAGATTTAGGACCAAGTGTCCTGAATTTCTGAACTACTAATTTAAAACTAAGGACATAAGATGTGAACTTCAGGACACAATTTTCGAACTTTAGGACACGATGTCCTGAAGTTTGAATTTTGAGGTTTAAACTCTAGGACGCCGTGTCCTAAATTTGCGCGAAATTAGCTAATCTTTAAATAAATTGCAAATGTGAATATATTTTAAGCATCATGCTTAAATATGGCTATATGGTGTCATTTCCACGAGAAAAGAAGGAATTCTGTCAGCCTTTTAAGTAAGTAACATATACTAACAATTCCTTTCAAACTCAAAACGGTATGTTAATATATACTCCTATTTAACATCATTAATTTGTACAACCATTTACAAAAGGAAGGAAAAGAAAAACGCGACGTTCAAAATTGTGCTACTCTAATTCTACATATTATGAACAAAAACAAAAATGAGTGATCAAAACTTGTTTAATTTGTATTTTGTCAGTGGGAAGCAACGGCGAAAATGGGGCTAGGTTCAACATCAGGCTCAGTAGGAGAAGGCAACAATGTGAGTGCCAAAATACCACTGACTGCAGCTGCAATTGCTCCCGCCACAAACGCCGGCAAGTTCCCTCCTCCGAATAACGCATCAAATGGCCCTCCCACTAGTGACACTAACGTCTGTATGTTAATAGAAAAAAGCAGTTTTAGTTTCTAACACTTCTATCCAAATAGATAATGACTTATTCGTTAATTCCGCAAAAGTATTTTTCAGCTAATTAAAATTTTCTGTATTAAGTTACTTCTCTAGCATTATATGTCACTGCCCTTGTTTGTGCTTAGTCTACAAATACATTTTTTCGAATCATTGAAACGTTATCAAGTACTTAGGAAAATGAAAAACCGAGAGGTGCAAATTAAATTAAATATCCAACGTCAGTCACAATTGTTTAAACTAGAAAAGGCAAAAGACATCGAGAATATATATATATATATATACACGTGAGAAAGTTATAGTTATTTACCTGTGGGACAACTATTGCAAGATTTATGACTCCTTGTGATAGACCTGTGGATTAAAAGAACCATGTTAAATATAGTTTATTATTAACATCGTAACAAGAATTTTCAGGATTAATTACCTTGCCCTGCCCCAGCATTGCTAGAATATATAGATGCCATAGCAAATGGGATGCTATAAAGGACCTGTACATGACGAGATATAAGCACATAGAATTTCCCCAAATTGGATCCACATTGTTTAATAAGTCCTTTTCTTAATACTTAAAAATACTCAAAAGTCAGCTCATTGAAAATTGTTAAACTAAAAAATCTAGAAAGGCTTTTTTAGTTGTTAGCCCTAATTTCATACCAAATACTCATTCTGTTTTACCTCAAAGTGCAAATTTTACTTTTTTATTGATTTATATGTTTATTAATTTATAAAAAATAACACCCGGTGTCTTGTAATACACTAGTTAAATTTTCATTGAGCCAAATGAGGTTAAATTCTTATCATATTACGAACTTAAATGCATTACATAATTGTTTGTGTTAAAATTAAGTACCAAATTAGAAATAATTGAGGGGTTAATAGAAGAACTCACTGCTAGAGGAATTCCCGTAACAGCAATAAGAAGCAAGGCACTGATCTTGACACCTTGATCCGGCGGCAGAAGTTCGCCGTCGTCGCCGCCGTATCGCCGTGATTTCTCTGCCATTTTTGTAACAAAAACAGTCATGGCCAAGCAAATAGCCAAGATGAAATTGACAATCCCCCATAGCCTTTTTGCACCACCTAGCCACTTTCCAACACACTCCACTCCCATTGACATTAAACATAGCACCAGTGAGCTCAACAGAAACCCAAATACACCTGCATGTACTCCTTTATTGTATAGATTCCCGTCCCTAACTCTGCCCCCATATACCTGCAAAAATAAACCAAGTATTTGAGCAGATTTTAATCTCCACAATACATTAATGTTTGGTTGCTCCTTTAATTTGTCTTCTCCTCATAAATTAATAATATATGCATAAGTTAAGCAAGAATGTATGTATTTTTTTTATGCGGAATACACTGAGTAATAAGAATATGGGTATTAGTAATACATGGACTAAAGATGCTAAAATAACAAAACTAACCATTATAATAGTCCAAAAAAATTTTGTTTTGATTAAAAAGTAAACAAGTAGTAGTATTTAAATTATACCCTCTGTCTTAATTTATGTGGCAATGTTTGACTAGCCACGAAGTTAGAAAGAAAGACGAAAGACTTTTGAAAGTTATGGTCTAAAATAAACAATAGACATTTGTGTGGCTATAAATCATTTTATTAAGGATAAATGAAAAATTTTACGTTAAATTTCTTTTAAATAGTATATGTCATTCTTTTTTAGATTGACTAAATATTAATATTTGCATACAATTCTTCCATTACTAGCTAATCATTACATTACTAATGTCTGCATTATTAATCACACATAAACAAATCAACCCCTAAAAACGAAGGAGGTATTCTTAATATAGAAGGAGGCATTCCAACTATAAACGAAAAGAAGACACATAAATTGAAACGGAAGAAAGGAGTATATATACAACAATAACAATAACAAACCCGGTATAATCTCACGAATGGGGTCTGGGAGGGTAGTGTGTATACAGACTTTATCCCTACCTTGAGGATAGAGAGGTTTTTTTTGATAGACCCTTGGCTCAAGGAAAGAAAGGAGTATATATACAGCTAAATAAATACCTCTTTGCCCATCCAGTCAGTGCCATATAAGGTGAATGGAAACCAAGCAATCCAGTTTACAGCTGTGACCATCAGAAGAATCCACACTGATCTTGGCAAATGCGTTAGAGCTTCAAACATCTCTCCAAAAAACAACAATCCTCCTTTTTTTCCTGATGAACCCAAATACTCACTGATGATGAAATGATCTTTCTGCGGCAGCCCTTTTTCATCCACAGTTGTTAAGGCTAAGGTTGTTAAAGTGAGCAAAAGAACTACTGAAATCAGAAAACAACTCTTTAGGTTTGCACATTGAACACCACAGGCTTCCGTCTTTGTGAAGGGGAAGATGGTGTAGAGGTGAGAATATGAACCGGCGGCATTCCCCAGAATGCTTCCGATCGCCATGAAGAATGCGTAGCAAGAATGTGCCGTCCTTATCCGACCGGCTTTTCCGCCAGAGAGATCAGCCAAGAATGCTCTGCACGGACCCTGCATTCAAAATACGTTCAACAAATCATTTACTGATACTGTCAAACCTCTCTATAACAGTCTCGTTTGTTCCGATATTTTTGGGCTGCTATAGTGAAGTGCTGTTATAAAGGACATATTACAAGATAACATAAAAATCGAATCCGAGAAAAACTTGGCTTTTATAGTGAATGACTGTTATATAGAGGTGTTGTTATAGAGAGGTAACCGTATATGTCCATCAGTAACATACTTTCACTAGTCCAGAGGCTAACGGAAAAACTTTAGGTAGCCCTATATGAGCATATAAAAGTTAAGCTCTAATATTTCAGTTACCTGTAACATGTTGTTAGCGACATCAAGGTACCAAAACCCAACGATAAAAGTAATAATGCCAAGAGGCTTAGTTTTTGTATCAAGAGGATCACCAAAAGCATGGCCAATATCAGCAGCAAAGCCAATGAAAATGACGGCAACGGCGACGAGGGAGGAGCCGGCGGCAATGAAGGGCCGACGGCGGCCAAAGGTGGAGGAGAGGTTGTCACTTATGTAACCAACCACAGGCTGAACAATCATTCCAGAAATAGGTCCACAGAGCCATATAATTGAAGCATATCTGTGTGGAATACCTAGTAGCTGTATATAAGGAGTTAACAAAGAGAGCTGAAGTGCCCATCCGAATTGAACTCCAGCAGCTATGGATGCCACCATTACTATCTTCCAACGTGGTGGCAGTACTGGAACAGCTAAATATGGCTGTTGAACTTTCATTTCCATAGTACCACTCTCCATTGAAATATCAATCTGTGTTTAAGTATGTATGACTTGGTCTACAAAATTATGAAAATAATTATACGTATCTAAATGAAAAAGGACAGCACTATGCACTAAACTACGGCATAGGGTCGTGAGAATATATATATGTATCTAAATGATTGGATTGAAATTGATTATAACAAAAAAAGGTCATATAACATATTCTCACGTTACACAAAACAAAATCACAAGAAGAAATGTGTTTCAGTCTCAATCCCATCTTCGGCTATATATTCTTTGTCACTAAGTAAAAGAACGTATATCAAAAAAAAGGATGAAAATCCATGAGAAGGAAAATGGGAAAGCTTCAATACCTGTTAAGGTACTGAAAAAGAAAAAACGTAATAGACAGAGAGAGGAGATGTTCTTGTTCTCTCTTCCTTCTTTTCTTTTTCCTTTTTCAAAATGATTAATGACTCTAAGAGCGAAAAAGATCTCTGGCGCTCTAGAGCGCCAGAGAGAAAGAAGAAAGAAAAGCTCTTTCTCTTCTCCAGTTCTTGATCTCTTGCTTTTTCCCTTTTCTCTTTTCTAAATTGCCCTAATGGAAATGGTAGACATCAAAAATGGAATCTACCTCTTCATTATATGTGAAATGCTCTACATTTCCTTGAGACGAGGAAAATCAAGAGTCTTCCGTGACTTAGGTCTTTTAAAACGGAACTCCAGTTATTAAAAAGCGTGTCATTCTTTTGCGGCGGACGCGCTATTTTGCGCGATACAGCAAATATATACACGGTATATTCTACAATTTAACTAAAAAAATTACCATTCGTAGCTATATATTCAGAAAATTACGCAACACAACAAACATATCCACATTTGTAGGAATAAAAGTGTATTTATCTTTGAGAAAACCCAAGAACCAAAAGGAAAAAAAAATGGAAATGTAATATTCACTTGCTGATGGCCTGAAAATACTCTCCACTAATAAGGAACAAAGGATTATATAGGAGAAACAAAGAACAAGCTTTTGATTATTAAAGGAAAAAATAATATAGAACAACATTCTGTACATATGAGGATAGAATTGTGGGAGTCGCATTAATTCAGCTCTACTAAAAAGCTCAGCTCTATCAAACTTCTCCCACCCACCTATCCGCCAGCTCTCCCGAGAGGTTTCAAGATACCAGATAGCTCAACCAAGCCTGTATCCCAACTTTCCTATTTTTATCAGAAAACGGAAAAGACAGAGAGACAAAGAATCACTTTCACTCATCAGAGTACCCTAAATTTACTGGAAAAATTGCAGCAGAAAGATTGCAGAACTTCGATGTGTTTCTGACATCTGATTCACCAACACAAACTAGGCCATAATACAAGGCACCAGAGGAAGATGATCAGCTCATGCAGAAAGGCAGCCAGTGCATCAGAAAATAATCAAATGCAGTAGAAAGACGACGCGTCAAATAAAAGATCCCTCTTTGCCAATGCAACTACAATATTGTACCATTATGCGCCCCGAATGGTGTCCACTCTGTCGATGACATCCAAAGCTTTGAGTCGGTCAATGTCAAAGTCGATCACTGGAACAGAAGACGGTCTCCTTATAGGAAAGGGGTCCTTCCTGGTTTCTCTTATAGGGGAATGGTTACTACTCTTACTCAGCCTATGGAACTTGCTCAACCTTGTTCTTGCTGTATCGAATTCTTGAGACTTGCTAATTCCAGGAGTCAGTTTTCTCTTGCTTACATCCCGAAGCATTTCTTGGTCTTCAACAGTTAATGCAGGAGATGGAGAACTTGGCTTGTGTGTTAACTGATTCATCCTTTGATTAGGGTAACAGCTTGGAGATTTCACAGGAGATCTAATTCCACCGTTTGTAGCATTTCTTGACTGAGTGACAAGATGATGAAGCCACACCACCAGTTCAAGAATATAAGCTTCGGTTTTCTCCTTATCGGCATGATAGAGTGTCTCAATTCTAAGTAGATCAGTCTGGCCAGCAGGTTTCCTGTCATTTCAGAGCAAATGAGTATACATGCTTTCCATAAAACTGGTTCAAGCAGTTAAGAACAAGTTTCATTCAGTTGAGCTCACCCGGTATTTGCCCATTCTCCAACCCATCCAAAGCCATGGTGGGCCCTGCAACAATTTTCATTAAAACTGTGTAACAATGATGGAAATAACAATCTGAACTAGTACAGTCAAAGGAGAGAATAGTTGAAATACACCAAGGTATAATGTTCAATTTAGCTCATGTAAAATCTATAAGGACAACCTCCAAACAAACATCCCACTGAATTTAAGAGTCTCAAGAAAACTCAAATTAGAATTCCTTTTACCAACTAACATAGTATAGCTGACAAGAAAGTCCCTCAGACTAAGAAACATATGAAGAATCATGGAAAACTGTAAGCAATGAATAATATATTGTAAGGCATCGTATTTTTACTTGGTTGTATTGGTTGCCATGGGAACAAGCCACTGCAGTGTTTTCTCCATTTCAGCTTTGATTTGTTGCACAGTTAACTGCACCAAAAGAATATTGAGTGTTATTAACATTCAATTACCTAGAAGGAAGAAACTTGCACCCCCTCCCCTCCCCCCTTTACCCACACACACAAAAACCTTAACCGAGAAAACACCTCTTCCTTGAGCTGGAACGATTGCAGTTTGAATCGCAAAGCTGACTTTATGCTTGGTGGCAACCCTTGGTATAAAGCATCTCTTGTATTTGGGGGCACCGAACCTGATCGAGCAACCTGATCATGTAAAATGTGGTACTCTCATTTTGTATTTTCCAATTAGAAATATGTCAACAACTAAATTTAAAAATATTTTTTTAAAATGTTCTGACAACAACATGGATGCTAATCCAAAATACCAATTAGTTACAATTTCAGCAAGATTGTAAAAACTGTAAGCCAAATGATTCCATTACTTAAGGGACCTTTACTGAAAAAGAAACAATGTATTTGGCTGTCTAGTGAGAACTTTTAAGAAAATTATAAACCTTCAAGAATTTGAGGCAGTCACCAAATTCCAACATGGGTAATGATCCACCTAGAGTGACCAACAATTGACTTCCAAACATTTACAAGTGTCACCTATGAGGCATATATATTAGCCAGCTATACGCGAGGACCAGAACGTTTGGGGTGACAAAGAAAAGATTACATCTTTATTCAAACAAACAAGTCAAAACATCAAAATCAAATAAAAAACAAATAGGGTGCTTAAGTTGATGTGTAATAAAGCCCACCTAATAATAATCCAACATCTTCGGACAACAACACAACAACAATTACGCCTCAATCCAAACAAGTTGGGGCCGGCTATATGAATCCTCATTAACCATGTTACTCCATTTAAACTCATCTCACACCAATATTATACAAAATATTAATTAAAAGGTACTAGAAGTTCTTTATATTTTCTACTGACATATAAATCTCTGATAGGCTAAACAACTCCTCGAAAAGCATACGACATAAAACATAAGTGCCAACATAACTAAAACATTTTCTCAACTAATAGGTATTTCCTATAGTCCTATATATATCTTCTCCTTCCATTGTGCTTTATCTTTCGCTAAGTTTGCACGGATCCTAAGAAATTGTAGGTCCTTCGAGAAAATTTCCTTTCGAGTGATTTTAGGTCTACCTTGTCCCTTTTTAACACCTTCACTCCTCATGGTTTCACATCTACAAACCAGTGCATCTTGGCGGCCGACACAAGACATGACCATACTATTTCAAGCAACCTTCTGTGATTTTATCCTCGATGTGCGCTACTATGAACCTTCTAACGAATTTTGTCATTGCTAATCTTGTCTATCCTTGTATGACATCACATCCATCTTAGCACCTACATCTCTGCAATATTCATCTTGTGGATGTGTTGGACTATAGCAGTCCAACATTCCGCCCCATGTAACATTGTTGATCTTATAATTATTCTATAAAATTTACCTTTCACTTTCACTTTAGTAGGTATCCTTATAACATAACACCCCGGTAGCACTTCTCCCTCCGAAAGGATAGGTTGGCTCTGATACCATAGTAGCACTTCTCCCTTTCAACTATCTGACTTTGATTCTATTCTATGTGTAACGTCTTCATCTAAGAGTAAGTGGATGAGATAGTGAAAACCATGAACGCATTTAGAGTAAGAATTCAGATGCCTTCTATAAAGAATCAACACCTTAAAGTACTGCTTTCTAAATAACACAATGAGCAAGCTAATCTTGGGACTTCCATTTATCGCTTTCAAATTCTAGTCGTGATATGAATTTCACAAATTCAATGGCAATTTGAATATTCTCAATGTGGCAGATTCTGTGGCATTTGTTTGTGGTCCCAATTAATGCACCTCCATCCTTCATTGTAAGTTTGTAACTTCAAAAAGAGATGAGAGAATACAGCTCTATGAAAGAAGAAAATGAGATGAGAGCATATATATTGGGATTAAGATGATGATCAACTGAGAATACACAGAACATTAACGAGGAAGATAACTGTTTGATATATTTATGACAAGAACAAAAACAAAAGCATATTAGCTTAAGGGGGAAAGATACCCACTTTTTTCCATGTTCCATAAAGGATATGAATGAAGGCAAAAGGTTTAATGAGAGTGTCAATAATGCAGCTTCTCGAATAATTGTATGTACATAAGATGCTTACAAGTGTATCAATCTGAGTAATGATATTCGCATAATGTAATGCAAGACCAGCAGATCCTAATCTCTGATGGTTGTTTTTTATTGGTCGGTCTCCATCTGCAAGGTTCAGTAAAACTATAGCAATCAGGTCAAAAAAATTTTAATTCAGTAAAACAGTTTTGTATAACAGGCCAAGAACCATGATAAAAAGTTATGTTGAAGTTTCAAATGCATTACCAGTGCTGCCAAATGCAGCATGGATCTCCAAATGGAGGAAGTGAACAATGTCAACAAGCTTTTCCATCACCTTCAATTATGGCAAAGCACATATTAGTACAGTCAATTGAAAAGAACCTCGATGGTTTTTCTTAAACAAGTCCATCCGTCTTGTTCAGCAAGTGGAAACCACATTACAAGTATTGAATAATAGAATAAAAGAGAACACAAAGCAGCACTAACTTGCTACCTCTTCCAATACCCTGGACCAGAGAGACTTCTTTTTCAAGCTTTTAACATGTTTCTTTTGACTTTTCAACTCTGCCCTCAAAATTGCAAGGGTATCTCCTGCGTATTTATATGTTAAAACAGTATTTTAAAAAAAATATATAAAGATAGTATGAAGAAACATATTTATATGTTAAAACAGTATTTTAGTAAATGAAGATAATGCAAGAATAACCAAGAGGAAGCTGGATAAGGAAACAAAGGTCTCACGTCCCATAGAATCACATGAAGTTGGAGAAACAATCTTTACACCGACTAAAAGTACGGAATAGCCTCAACAACTAGAATTCCCTTACACAAGGCAAACAAAAAGTTAAAGTAACCACTCCAGAAAACAATGTCCTAAATGCTGTCGGGAATCAGTAAGACGCCTGCATCCCTATATGCTAGTTTCCTATAGATTTAAGGTCTTTTTGGTTTGCATTAGTTATCAGATTTGATGATGATTTTTTACTAAATGTGATTGATATTTTCCAATCAGATAGAAGATCTGATTTTATTAAATAAGAACTAAAAATTGCTTTGATGAAGAGTAGGTAGTTTGCCTACGACTATCTCGGCCTCCCACTGGAGCATCTAGCAAGGAGCGGACAGTATGGGACCAAGTGATTGAAAATTTGAAAGAATTGAGAGAAAATTAGCGGGATGTCAAAAGAAGGAAAGAGATCACGATCAAGGGCACTCTCTTGAGCATTTTAACGGATTAATATTTAGGTATATATACCATCTCTTTTCCTCTCCTTTCAAACAAAGAAAAGTGACTGAAGTTTTTCTCTTTGGAACCGTGTTACGTCTAATTCCTATCTAGCTAGAAAACGACGATAGAGTCTACCAGCTCAAGATTTCTCCATTAGGATATTTGTCGCACTCCATGGAAACCCCAGAAGGAGTGCTCCGTCTAGGCCCACAACACCTCAAATGTTGGTAAGTTACTAATGATATGACAAACTGGAGGCAGATCATTGTAGAGAAATAGTTTATATAAACTTTGAGCATGAATTATTCCTAGACAGATCAGCTGCTTTAAAATAGAAGCTAAAAACACAAAGAGAGTATCCATGGAGAGATGACCTCTCTGAGTAGCATTTGAGGTATCCTCTTCTTGAACTTTACGTCGACAATCTTGCTCAATTCTGTCCAATGCATGCAATTCATGGTACAGTTCCTGCGAAAGGCATAATAATTAAAATTTACTAAGACCAGATAGTCTTGTCTACTTTTTTCTTTTACTTTTTTCGAAAAAGAAAGAACTTTGCAATTGCGAGAAAGGTGTAATGCAACGAGATGTCTTCGCTTTCATAAAGTGTTAAGTAATAAGAAGGCAACAATGCTTGCACTCCAAGCATCCATGATAAGCATGAAGCTATTAAATCCCATTAAAATAGAAAAGACTAATCTGCCATAGCGAATATAGAACTGACCTGTCCCGAGATGATCAAACAAAATGTTTGTAAGTTAGAATTGAATTTAATGGGCTTAATTGCAAAGAAGCACTCATTACCGACCAGATGCTGGAACAATCTATGAGAAACTCTTTAAGACACCCCCATCAAGCATTTCTGCTCCTCGCACCCCCTCATTGCTATTGCACTAACTAACTCATTCTATCACTCTCTCTCTCACACACAATACATGGTATCATGGACTAACTTCTCAACCCATAACCCCATGGTCACCCACTTCACTGACCACTAGGATTGGATGTGCATTTGAAGGGTTGAAATACTTGTTGTACAGGTCAGAGGAACTTCTTTTAATTGTTGGAATACCTATGAGATTCTGCATTGATGCTTTTAATAAAAAATTAAGTTTTTGTGTGAAGTTGTCTACTTTTGTACTATATTGTATACCAGAGCCCTTCACATCAATAACTTTATTTTAATTTATCAAAGAAAATGGAAAGATAAAGAAAGAAATAGGGGGAAAAAAATGTCGAGAAATAGAGAGGTTGAGATGGAACTTACAGCTGTATAATGTACCAAGGTCATTAAATGCAGCATCATAGACTCGGCTTCTTCTTTTAATTGTTTATGAGGTGTCAATTCTGACTCCAACCTGAATGTAATGGAATGAACTACAGATGATGTGAAAATTCATTTCCGAAGCAGTAACAACAAAGCTAGCAAAACTGGACTAAAGTTAGTTTTAAATACTTCTCAAAGTAGCGGTCTAAGTTGTGCCATTGAGGATCTTTGCAACTATTTCCAAAGCGAACCACTTCACAAGAGAATATTTTCAGCTCATCCCTGTCAAAATACAACAAGCATCTCAGTGTTGAGCAAAAAGAAATTGAAAGTAGCATGTGATATTTGAATGTTCATTCATGCAAAAAGCTATTTCAGACTCTTTAGCACCTTTTGTCTGCTGCAGCAATTCTCAAGAGCTCATCCATATCTTTTGATATCAACAGCTGCACACCTTCAGAAGGGAGCACCACCTCCTTCAAATGCTTAATGTTCTCTTTTGAAAGGGAATACATAAGATTGGCGCCCTTGACAATCGTATTTGCCACTTCAAATGCCAAAATTGAAATTTTATTTCCCTTGGTTGCCATGCTGGACGCAAAGCCACCACTTAGGCTTAAATTTGTCATGCTGCTACCTAATGTGTCCAACACATCTACTGCCTTGCCAAGCCCCACCGTACCAGCTCTGCCCAAAAGTGAACTCACTTCTGAAACCTGTCAAACAAATATAAAACAATTAGATATTACCATTTAGAAACATAACCAATAATTTTCATTGTTTGGAAATTAATACTCTGAATAAAACAAGAATTATTGCCAAAGGATGGTCAAAATAATATTGTATGTAAGTGTAAATTATATCGCCATCAATACCAAGTGAAAGTAAAGTAGCATTGCAGCATCTTTAGTCAAAAAATATAAAGAAAGCTGACCAGGGGGATTTTATTTTATGTGGAAGATTTTCAGATGGTTCGGGTTGCAATGTGTGATGCCTCACACCGTGAAGGATATGTTCAGCTGGGAATTTAGAAGACAGCGGAGAAGACGAAGAGTGTGGCATGTTGCTCCACTAGTACTCAGGTTGGTTGCATGGAAAGAGATAAATAGAAGAGCTTTTGAAGGGAAGGAAATGGTTTTGTACTTTGAGGAATAGCCTCTTGTCCCTTTTTTTGGTGCACCATGTGATTCCTGTTTGTATAGACGATTGGTGTCTTTCATAGAGAGTTACATTTCTTTGTAGATTCTACCTTTTACCACTTGCATTCAGGAGTTTTTATCATTCACCTTTGTATCTTCCTACAACCTATCTGACATTTGGTTATTGTCAAGACAGCACAAATATAATGAGGAAAAAAGGCAAGAAGCATCAGGTTATAGTCAAAGGAAATAACAACGAATAGGGTGACCACTCACCTTTGCCATGGCAACTTGCTTTGACCTTGTTGATCTGGTTTTATTTGATAAAGCCCTAGACAATCGAGGAATTCCATCATTGATATCATCCATATCAACCCCATGAGAAACTGCATTCAACTCCGGAAAAGAGAATGCTGGTTCACTCGGTTGTTTTTCTGTGCTTTCCCCCGGTGGAGATTGCATAGACTCATTATTAGCCTGTGTGGGCAACCTATGTGACTGATAAACTGTTCCAGCACCATAATTAAAGTGGCCGTTGACATGTGGAAGGCCACGACCTGTTGTATTCTCACTGGTGGCTCTTCTTGAGCAAAGGCCACCCATTGCCGTATAATGACCTTCAACCTACTTAAACCTCAATGTTTCCATCAAGATTTCAGTCAAAATTTTATAAATAACTTAAGACACTGCTGCAGCAGAGGACTGATCAAGAAAGCCACTTCAAGATTCTGTGCTCAAATGGGTCTAAATTACTACATGACCAAATTTACGATGGTCATCAACCTCTGAGCACAGGTACTAGCTAAGTCAACTGACTCAAACCTGCAAACCATAACATTAGAAAAGTCAATGTCAAGAGCATATCCCCTTATCTCAATAAATTGGCAATAAAGCAATGCAACCCCTCCCACCCCCCACCCCATTGGAGGAAATACTCAAAAATCAAACTTCAAAGCATATTCAAACAAAAGAAAGAATGAAAGAAAGAAATACAGAACAAGTAATGGAATCCAAATGGAACAATGTACAAGATAATTATTGCTAAAATTAGAGATTAGCAGAGGATTTCAAATAACACCACTATATTGCCAGATGCCTCACAAGAAGCACTCTACTTGAACTACACATAAGTTAAAATTTTAATTATCTAACTAAGTATGCACTCACTGCCACAAATTAGCAGGCAGCTACTGATATAAAATCCTAGATCCATATATGTAGCATGAACTATACAGAAGCAAGTGAAAACAAGTAAAACTCATAACTTGTCTCATCAGTCAGAAGAACAAAATCAAAACAAACAAAAAGACACTTACATACTACATAAACACAAACAGTTGTAAGCACTAAGCAGATGCTAAAGAAACAAACTTACCAAGTAAGAGAAAAAGATAATAACTTGGATCTGAACAAAGACACAACAGATTATAAAACCGTTAACACCTTTTTCAACAGGAACAAGATACACTTGAACAAGGTGAGAAATTAAGGGTAATACAAGTGATTAGTAGATATATTTTTCTTGAATTTTTGGAGAGTATGAGGTGGGGAAGGGGAAGTTGGGTCAAGAATAATGGCAAAGAAGTAAGCAAAGAGAACCCCAAGTCAGACACGATAGAGTAGGCAAAGTTTCTCTCTCACACACACACACAGTTACCTATGTTCTTGAAAGACTAGTGACACTATCGAGTAGTAGGGTGCTGTGCTTGCTTGCTGACTCTCGTCATTGGAAAAAAACACTTAATTGAGTTACAGCAATTTTAATGAATTTGACTTTCCGAGGAGTATTATTTACAAGTTGAGTTGAATTTAAAAAAAAATTGTGATATTCCAGAATTTGTCATGTTTTATATGTTTGTAAATTGTATATACTTATATCAGTAAAATAAGTGAATAATATTACTTTTTTTAGTTTTTATATGTATCATAAATTCATATGTAAAATATATCTGAATTAATTGTGTGTCTCTGTTAGAGTTTGTACAATGACTAGCTTTTTATATGATATTAAATAATTTCTTCTACGTACATAAAGAATTTTGGAGCTAAAAATCTTCTTAATATGATATTCAAGCAAAGCACATAATGTTATTCAACTTCGATTCATTTTATATTATGTTACTATATTTCATATGTCAAGCTCTATGTGTACGTTATATCATCCTCATAAGAAATTTGACGCTTCCTCAACTAACTTTTAGATTGAGTTAAACAACGTATCCATCTTATATTCAAACTTGGAAAAGAATTAACTATAATTAATTGATAAAATTTTAATAAAGGTTACATTAAGTATTTAATAAATTTGGCCAAAAACATTGCAAAGTGAAAATTCCCCCTACCCAAACGGGAGAAATTCAAAAATAGCCAGATTTACAAGTGGTCATTCAAAAATAGCCACAGTTTTAAAAGTAATCGAAATTTAGCCACTTTTCATGTAAAGATAAATCTGAACGAAAACACTATTCAAAATCCGAAAAATACTTCAGTATAATACACTGGAGTTCCAGCATATATACTGGAGTTTCAGCAAAGTATACGGGAACTCCAGTATATTATACTGGAGTTCTAGCAAAGTATACTGGACTTCTAGCATATTATACTTGAGTTCCAGTATAATATACCGGTCCGACATAATATGCTGGAGTTCATACACAAGTGCACCGATCTCCAGTATATTATTCTGGAACTTTCCGTGTTGCAGCAAAAGAACGACTATTTTTTAATGACTTTACAAACGCTGGCTATTTTTGAATGTCCAGTCGCGAAAACTGGCTAGCCCGTACTATTTAAGTATGGTCCATAATAGCAGGCCAGACGCCACCCACTTGCTTTCCTTTTGTCTTTTTTCGATGGTCAAAGCCCCAAAGTAATGATCTTTTTTCCAATGGTACTCCCTCCGGTTCAAAATAAGTGATTTTTTGGATGTTTTCATACAGATTAAGAAATCCACCTTTTAACATTAATTAGCAATAGAATTGACCATATTAACCTTTACTATCTCACATAAACACTCCTAACACATATTCCAACACTATTTACTCTAAGGACAATGTAGGAAAAAAATAATTAATTCATTCTTGAAATCTGGAAAAATCACTTATTTTGGACCACAAGAAAAAGGCCAAAAAATCACTTATTTTGGACCGGAGGGAGTAATAATTTATTACCTCAAAAGAGAGTAAAGAGTCCCATTACCATAGAGTGATGATTATATTATTATATGACCAACACTTTTTACCATAAGTTCTCAGTTACCACAATTCATTTTTTAAGATTTCAGTGCCACTCGCCCCCTGTGGTGCTTGCTCTCACTCAATGCTCTAGAGTTCAAAAATTTGTTTTCCTTTTTTTCATTTTAACTTTCATCAAATAATTAGCTCACATTGTAATTTGCTTATAATTGATTTATCAAAAGAAAAAAGTAATGTCATTTATAAGGGTCATATTTTCTATAACTTTAAATGTCATTTCTTACACACGAATAATAACTCTTTGAAGTCTTTTGTTGTAAATTCTAAATTTGTATCTGTTAATAAATGATCATTTCATGCACATCTAATTCATTCAAAGAATTGATCAAAATAACTTCGTGGCATTTGACTTCAAATAATATTGTGGTTGCTTTTCATTGCTTTTCTTTTCCAGCAAAGAACGAGGCTCTTGTTTTAAAATGAAAGGTTAATATTTTATTTTACTTTATTCTTTTTTCTTGAGTCTGAAAAAAGAATTTCCTGAATCTTGCTTATAAGTATTGATTATATCTAAATTTAGTTGATAGAGTATAACTTTAAGGAGCAATATCGAAAATATCTAACCGTACAAACTGAAATCAAAACGAAAAATGAAAAATAAAACCATACCAAATTTATTTCAGTACGGTATTAGTGTGTAATGTTTTAAAATCAAAAATCAAAATCTTTCAAACCACATCAAACCGACAGATGAACATCCCTAGTACTAAATATTTTGGAAAACACAAAGAAAAATAAAAAATCTAAATTTTCAAAACGCCAGCAGAAAGTGTAAATCACTGGAAAGCTCGAAAAGCATTCACTTAGAGCTGATTTAAGGGAACAGAAAAATTAAGGAAAATAGATATGAAAAACTCAGCAAAAGCAATAAGCGTAACATGATATTACCCAGCATAGACCGGGGATTATCAGAGTTTGGTTTCTAATGCTAAACAGATAAGCAACATGATTTCTAGATAGATAAAGAGGAATTTTCAGAAATCACTATTGTTTAGTGGCTATTAACTTCCTATAGCTATCATATACATAATTACTTGCTATAGCTATTATTTAGTTGTTACGCGATTGTATTCGTTGTATTCGCGTTGTTGTATTCATGAATACAGTAGTAAAATTCGCCTAAAAAATAGGGGAATCCAACTGTGCGACTGTATTCGTTGTATTCGCGCTACTATATTCATGAATACAGTAGCGGAATTCGCCTAAAAAATAGGGGAGTCCAGCTGTTTAATAACGGAAAGAGAATCAATTAGCGTGTATCACTCATAATTTAACTCAATAATATCAATTCTACATAAAATTTGTTGCTATGCGATTGTATTCACTGGATTCGCGCTACTGTATTCATGAATACATTATTAGGGGAGTCCAGCTTTCACGCTGCTGTATTCATGAATACAGGGGAGTCCAGCTTTCACGCTGTTGTATTCATGAATACAGGGGAGTCCAACTTTCACGCTACTATATTCAGGAATACGGTAGCGAGATTCGCCTAAAAAATATGTGAGTCCAACTGTTTAATAACGGAAAGAGGATTAATTAGCGTGTATCACTCCTAATTTAACTCGACAAAATTAATTTTACTTAAATTTCGCTGCTACTGTGATGTATTCCATGTATTCGCGTGACTGTATTTGTAAATACAGTGAGGTAATCAAGAAATAGGGTGTATACCGTTATATTCAATTCGACTGTATACATTATATTCAATTCACAAATATTCATTATTCACTATTATACATTGTATTCAATTCCAGTATTCAACTCGACTGTATTCAAACAATACGAAATCATTGTTGACATCCAATTTTGTCCCTCTGTTCTTCAAATTAATTCTCTTGAGCTTCTAATTTATTATTACATCAAATACTTTATTTTTTTAATATTGTTTTTCAGTTACTACAACTATTACTATTACTATTACTATTACTATTACTATTCTTGTTGTTATTATTATTAGTATTACAATGTCATTATAATATTACTATTGCTAATATTATTGTTGTTGTTGTTGTTATTGTTGTTTTTGTTTTTGTTGTTGTTGTTGTTGTTGTTGTTATTATTATTATTATTATTATTATTATTATCTACTTAATAATTTATTTGAAAGAACCAATTAAGCCTAATTGAGGAGCCCAAAATAATTACTAGGAAGAAAGGAAATTAAGGACTATTCCAAGCCCAAATTCGATCATCAGCTAGGTCTTGCAACCAGCCCACCAGATACAGCCCAATTTTTATTAGTCCAGAGCCTAATCCACAAAGACTATAGTCCAAATCTTAGTACATTCCTAGCGGCTGCCTCTTACCCCATCTTCTTCTCCTACTTTAAGCAAAATTTGTCCATCGTCTCTTGAAATCCAAAGCTTGTCACTCCATTTTGATACAAATCCCATCTCTCTCACATGTGGTCTCCTTTTTCGAGCAAGTAGGAATAGTCAAACCAAATCTTACTCTTTTGTAAAATAGCAAGAACGAATCTCTTCCACTCTGAAGCAAACAAAGGATTTGGTCAAATTTTCTTCAAAAGAATCCAAAACTCTTCTCCCAACAATAGCGAAGTTTCACTCTATGGGTAGGGTTTACCTCTAGCTATCTCGATTTCTTTGTACTTTGTTGCCATTTTCATACTTTGAATTCTCAAACGGACATATTCAAAAGCTTTGCTCGTGACACCCTTTTGAATAATTTGAAATTCAAATTCGAACTCTAGCTCTGGGTCTAAATCTCTCCCTATAAATATATCTTGTTGCAATTCAAGAAGGGGAGATTTTTTTGGCTGCCACCATTTCGGAACTTCAAGATTCTTAAAGTTATTTAGTTCAATTAAAAGGCTTACACGAGGCTTTAGTCGCCCCCTAACACCACTATTTTTCTTACTCTTATCATTGTTGTCGTCCCTTAAAATCTCTAAGAAAACACTTTCAAACATTTTATTTTATTTTGTCTCGGAATACTTTAACCGCGATAGAGGTGCTCGAACCTACTCGGCTCAAGGTTCGCATCTATTCATGACGAGAAAGTAGATTCGAGATCGTGCCCCGGTTCGCTGCCCCACAACAGGTAAAATCTGACCCTATTTCGATTGTGTTTCCCCTTTTGTTTAAGACACTGTGTTTGTTTAGAAAAGCATATCTTAAGTTTACTTCTTTATCTGTTGTAATGAGATGTGTCAATGATATTTGTTGTTGAAGTGAAATGAGGAATTCATGCTTTAAGTCTCTGATGTACTCATATTTGTCGTGCTAAAAGTTTATGACCAAATTATGTTACTTGCTATTACTATTCAGTTGTGATAGAAAACAGGAATTTTGTGATTAACATTCTGTTTCTAATGTATTTTTAAATTTTATTCTTGAGTTAATTTTAGGTATAAATATTGTAATACAAAGCATGTCGTTAGGTAAAACTGTGTCGCAACTTTAGATATTTTTGTTATAATCTAGAAATCATGGTTATAACTTAACTATCATTTTAGTTTGATTTAAGTGATTAGCATAGTCCCAAAATACATGCTGCTACCATGTCTTCATTAGAAACATGAACTTAGGAAATATTTCTATAAACCTCTCGCCAAGTCCAAGAAAAGTGAATGTTTGTGCCTCTGTTACTTTTATCATCATAATGAAATATATGTTTCTTGATGATAATGGTACCATGATTTAAGATCTTTACATGGACTTTATAAGAAATTGATTAATAAGTTACATACTTGAGTTATAGGTGCAAATGCTGAAATTTTACCTTTTCACGTGATAATAGAAAGTACTGATATCTGCTTATTTCATCGTTGCTATGGACATACTGCTTTAGTTCCTGTTTGAGAGGACACATTTATTCTAATTTGTGTACTGGATGGAGAATGTATTTTTGGGATAGTTTTTTAGCATACTTAAGTCTTGAATTCTTTCTTTATATGAAATATGCTAGTTTATAGAGTATAGATTTGAATGTAGTAGTGTGGTATCGTTTACTTATTCTGTACTTATAGATAATAATTAGATTTTCTTTTTCTTTCTACCTCCTTCATTTTTTTATTTCCCTTTCTTTACATGTACACTCTAGAGCAAATGGAGTCTTAATTCGAGACACTCGCAGTGGAGTCTCATAGAGACTCAACGCTACCACCACCACATGGAGTCATTGCATACCATCTTCCTTAGAGCATCGGATAGCAAGAAAAAGAAACAAGCCAAACGCTTGGGACGCCTATGGCGTTCTTATTCTTCCTTTACTATGTGTTACATTTATTGTTATGATTGCTGACTAACTTGTGTTTTGGAATTTATCTCAAGTGTGAGATTGTGTTAAAAACTCATGTTTAATGTAGATTTAACAATGGAGTCATTTTAATCATAAAGATTTTGTGTCTAGGTAGACCTGTACCACCTACATCATATAGAATAGAACACCTATAATAAAGACTTTTATATATGTTCTTTAACTAGAGCTATCACAATGTTTTATACATAAACACTTAATGCATTAGACTACTGAAAGTAGTATTGTAAAATCAGCCTTTAAGGTAATAGTTTTAAATCAATTTCTTATGGCGTCAAGTTAGATATATTTTAAATCAATTTCCAATGGCATCGGGCTAAATATTTTTTGAGTCTAAAATGATAGTCGAGCACTTTGAAACATACAAAGAAATTGCTCCTCTTTTACAATGTATTTAAAACCTTTTTCTGCTAAGCTTAGACTCACTATCTAGGAAGAATGGTTGTTCCACTTAGTTGGCGGATTTATTATTCTACTCGATCACTTTGTAATCCTAAGTTAAAATCATTTACTACTTAACTGTGAGTTATTCTTTTTTTTAATACTTATAAAATATTTTACTTATATGACTTTACTATTAACCTAAGTTTGACCGGTTAACCGTAATTAACGGATCATATAGGGTGCCTTCATAACCTTCCCTATAGGATTAATTAGAACCCTTACCTAGAATTTCTAAGGTTAAGAAGACCGTAAAAACAGAGTTAACTTTAAGCACTACTTAGTTAAAATTGGTGTCATAATTCACCGTTAAAATAATTAGGTGGCGACTCTCTTTACTTAATTAAACCTTCAGATTTACCAATATGTTGTACTCTAGTTTGAACCGCGTTAAAATGGGGTATAACAATCACAAAACAAAATAATATTCGGTTATATTCAAAAAATATAGATCTTTGGGATACATAAATACATGCAAAAAAAGTAATATATTTATACAAAAATAAAAATGTATTTGAGTGTATTTATATATAATACAATGTATTTGTATCATTGTATGTGACTAAAATAGCAAAGAAGAAAGTTCACCGGGGATGGCTTTTACCGGCCAAGCAAAATACTATATACATTGTATTAAAACTAAAAAAGCAGACGAACAAAAACCCATCCCTCAAATCTTCTTCGGCGTATCCATGGCCAGATCTGTTCACCTAAAAGGATGAGCCAATAGTGGATGATGACGCCAACGATCAAAACTGAGTACTTTAGTGGGTATACCTCATGTAACCCTCTCCGGAGTTGTTGAATCAGCCATTGAAAATGAAATTTGAAGTTTCTTCCTCAAAACCTAACAATGGCGAAAATTTATTAAAAAAAAGTGAAGAGAAAAAGAAGAATGGTAGAGTAATTTGGCGTGAAACGACCAAAAGCTTTACCAATTACCACGAACTTTTGGAGCAAAAACGTTGAGGATCAATTCTGAAGTTGGCGGGGAGGATTGCAACTGGGTTGATCAGCCAATATTGGGGGCGGGGGAAACTGACCCGGGCTCCATTTCTTAAGACCTTCCGTCTTTCTCCTAAGGGCCCTCTTCCTATTTAGGGGGTTGAACGTCGGGGTTGTTCTTATTTTACCGGAGGGGTTTGAATTAGCTAGGAGACATTGTTGTTATGTTTTTCAGTTATAAGCCATTGTTGTGTGGTCCCTTTCGAGCGGTTCCTTCTTTTCTTTTTTTGATGATTTAAAGGCGACAACTCTTTTCGAATTGGGCCTTAGAGCTATGAGCTATAAGCCTATAACACATACGCAAGAAGGAAGAATGCCTAATTGGACGGGTACCCTAAGGAGGGGGAGTCGCTTGCTTGTTTGGTGTAGAAATTTGTTCCTAGAATCTTGCTGAGAGAGAGAGAGATTGTGGAGAGAGAAAGAAGAAAAATCTAGCTGTGATTTGAGAGAGAACGTGTGTTAACTAAAAGAAAGAGAAAAAAAAACATAAATAGCGTATTCACGCCTATATGGTAGTGTACGATAAATACTTATTTTGCTATAAAATATAAAAAGTAGCTATAGATAATAATATTTTAAAATAGTTTTGGTTTAGAATAAATAAGGTGTAATAGTTTGCTATAGGAGGTAAAATTTTCATAGATAAATAATTGCAAATCCATTGATATTTTGAGTCCTTTGGACAGAACTAGGAAGTGACAAGGATATTCTTACACTCTGTTTGGATCATTGTTACCCATCATTTTATAATGTATGGTATTGTATTGTGTTGTTTTATGAATACAACGTTTGGATAGATTGTATTATTTGCTGCAGTCAAAAACATTTTGCTGTTTGGTTTGACTGTATTGTACTGTACTGTAACTGATAAGTTTACTAAGATACCCTTAATTGTTTTAAATATTATCAAGTAATTAGAGTTGGAATTAAAAAAAAAGAGAATGTAGAGAGAAAAACTCTGGCGATCGTTGAGCAAGGTAGCTAACCTCACCGGCCACGATGACACACAATAATCACCTTCCCCTCCCTACACAATCACCTCTTCCGATTGATACTATGAATAGATTAATTACACCAGCAATTAGCCCCAATGCAACTGTTATATTGGATGCCAGGTATGGGGAGTGCCCCTACTGTCATGCAAGCCCCACCGGCAACGGAGAAGGATGAATCGCAAGTAATGGAACCAGGATTACTGACAGCGGCACGGAAATTAACCTACTCAGCTGGGTCTCAAAGTACAAAGTACACCGTGTCAGAGGTAGTTAAGGGCAACAGAGTTCAAACACAAGGCATGCAACTAAAGTTCTACCCTCCAGTTGTAAAGGATAGAGTGAAAATGGCCAAGCTGAATCCAAAGGAGATAGAACAACAGTGTAAGCGATAGAAAACAACGTTGATTGGATACGTGCTAGGGCGAAATCCGTTGTTCAAAGAGATGCTCAAATTCGTCTAGGGAGTATGGAATTTAGTGACGACACCAACGGTACTTCTTCATGACGATGGGTATTTTATTTTTCGATTTAAATCTATGGAGGACAAAAACTTAATTGTGCAAAATGGACCTTACACCTTCAATAGCAGACCTATGGTCTTGAAAGACTGGGATCCGGATTTCCAGATTCAGAATGAATCTATGAGAATAGTTCCTATATGGGTTAACCTACTTGGGCTGCCTATCCAGTGTTGGGCTGAGAAAAACTTAGGTAGGATTGCTAGTCTGCTAGGCAAACCTATTTGCACTGATAAACTTACAGCACAATGTGAAAGAATTTCATATGCTAGAGTACTCATTGAGATGGATATCATACAGCCACTACTAGATGAAATACTCATTGAAAAGCCAGATGGAAATAGCTGGATGCAGAGAGTGGATTTTGAATGGAAACCAAAGCTTTGCTTGGACTGCAACAAATTTGGGCATGGTACTGGTGAGTGTCAACAAACAACACAGCAGTATGAGGAACCAAAACAACATAAAAGAAGAAGGAGGAAGAGAACAAGAATGGAATGGAAGCCAAAAGCAACAGACACAGGAAATAACAGAACAAAGGTTTTGCCTCAGGAGGAACCTACACAGCAGGAGACAGTAGTAGAGATAGAAGTGACTAATAGAGGCAAACAGGCAGTGCTTACTCAAGGATCAGCTGGTAGAAAGAGTTATAAGGATATTAACTATGAAGAACTAGCTAGAAGAAATTCATTTGCACCCCTGACAATACTTGAAAGGCCATCAAATGAAAGTCATCAGGGGCCATCTTTTAATAATGATAAAGCTCAAAGGGTAGCTGAGAGTACCAATCCTACTAATCATTATCCTCCATGATTATTGTGGCCTGGAATATAAGAGGACTGAATAAGTCCTACAACCAACGAGAATTCAAAAAGTTCTTGTTGATGAATAAGGAGATATAATAGCTTGTCTGGAGACTAGAGTCAAACAACAAAGAGCAAAAGCAATACAGAGGAAGATGGGTGTTGACTGGCAGTTCAAGGATAACTATGCTTATGCACCAAATAGTAGAATTTGGATTGGTTGGAAAGTTGCAAATGTTCAAGTCACAGTAATAGATGCCTCAGATCAAATAATACACTGCCTAGTCAAGGATAAAAATTCATCATTTACCAGCTACATAACCTTTACATATGGACTACATACTCTTCAGCACAGAATCCCACTCTGGAGAACTTTGAGGAATATTCAAAGTAATGGACCTTAGCTTATAATAGGTGATTTCAATAGTGTGCTACATGTGGATGACAGAATGAATGGAGTCCCAGTTCATCAAACAGAGATAACTGACTTTCAAAACTGCATTGATGATATTGGGGTGGGGCAAATCACAAAAAGAGGCTGCAAATTCTCATGGAACAATAAGAGGGATGCTGATATCAGAATTTATAGTCATATAGATTGGGCTTTTGGAAATACTGATTGGTTCCAACAGTACAATGGTGTGGAGGCTATCAACATGTTACTAGGTTGCTCAGATCACTCACCTATAATGATTAATACTGATGTTGTTAAGTTGAAAGTGAAAAAGCCTTTTAGATTACTATCTACAGTGATGCAATTACAAGAGTATAAAGAGGTAGTACAGGCTACTTGGAGCCAACAGATTCAAGGTTACTCAATGTATTCAATATGGAGGAAGTTGAAGCTAGTAGAGTTACAAACTAGAGGCCTTCAACAAGAACACTCCTCAGTTGATCAAAAACTAGATCAATTGAGAGACACTTTGAAGGAGGTACAGGGGAAGCTTAATGAAGGCTATTTCAACAAGTTACTGATTGAAGAGGAAAGGAAGAACCTGACATTTATAGAGAAATGGGAAGCAATTCAGGAACAAATAATGAGACAGAAGTCAAGGGCCACATGGATCAAACTAGGGGATTGCAACACTAAGTACTTTCATGCTTATATGAGAGCCAGACAAGCAAGAAACAAGGTTAATTGCATCTATAATGAACAGCAGATCAAGGTCTATGAGCCTAAACAGATACAGAATGAGTTTACTCAGTTCTTTCAACAATTACTGGGTACAGCAGCAGATGAACTACCAGGCATTGATATTAATATAGTAAAAAATGGCCCATGTCCAACCATGACTCAGCAGCAGCAACTTTTACAACCTGTAACACCAGAGGAAATAAGTCAGATTGTGCAAAGTCTTCCTAGTGACAAGGCACCTGGTATTGATGGTTATCTTGCTGAATTCTTTAGGAAATTTTGGCCAATTATTGGAGGGGAGGTCACGGAAGCAGTACAACAATTCTTCGAATCTGGCAGACTGCTGAAAGAAATTAACTGCACAATAGTCACTTTGATCCCCAAAGTTCAGAATCCTACTTATGTGAAGGAGTTTAGACCTATTGCTTGTTGTTCTACACTGTACAAGATCATTGCTAAGGTACTTACAGCTAGACTTAAACTAGTTGTTGATCTGCTGGTAGGGCCTTCACAATCTGCCTTCATAGAAGGTAGAAACATACTTGACAATGTTATAATGGCACATGAGCTGATTAAGGGCTACACTCAAAAAGCAGTCTCTCCTAGATGCATGATCAAGGTAGATATCAGAAAAGCATATGACTCAGTAGAATGGAGCTTCTTGAGATCAATACTACTTGAGTTTGGGATCCCATACAAGATGGTATCATTGATCATGGAATGTGTAACTACTGTTAGTTATACATTGCTATTGAATGGTGGATTAACTGACAGATTCGAAGCAAAGAAGGGGTTAAGGCAGGGAGACCCAATGTCTCCATACTTGTTTGTGCTGGCAATGGAGTACCTGAACAGATCATTAAAGACACTCGTTCAGAATCCTGACTTTAATTTCCACCCAAAATGTGCAAGGTTACAAGTTCTACATATCTGCTTTGCTGGTGATCTACTGATGTGCTGCAGAGCAAATGAAGTATCCATGAAGTTAATGATGGGAGCCTTTGAACACTTCTATGTTGTTTCTGGGCTGAAAGCAAATTTGGAAAAAAGTTCCTTATACATAGCAGGAGTGCCTATGGACTTCAAAGATAAAATGCTAATTGAGTTACACCTAACACTGGGAGCTCTGCCATTCAAGTACCTTGGAGTTCCTCTGTCCACAAGGAAGCTCACTATCCATCAATGCATGCCACTAGTCGAGAAGATTGTTGATAGGATCAGAAGCTGGACTTCAAAATTCCTTTCCTATGCTGGAAGATTACAGCTCATTAAGAGTGTCCTATTTGAAATGCAGACCTATTGGGCATTGGTAGTCCTCATTCCAAAGAAAGTCATTAAGCTTGTTAATAACATCTGTAGGAGCTACTTATGGACTGGAGTACATGACAATGCTCATAGAGCTCCTATTGCTTGGGACACACTGTGTAAACCAAGAGCTACTGGGGGTCTAAATATTATCAATTACGAGATATGGAATAAGGCCGCTTTGACTGAACTCCTATGGGCTATAATGGCAAAGAAGGATAAGCTATGGATTAGGTGGATCCACAGTCATTACATAAAACAGAAGGATGTTACTACCATGGATGATCCAATCAGGCCAGCTGGTTAGTAAGGAAAATTTTCACTGCTAGAGAATGGTGGGCAACTGACTTAACAGTCATAGAATCCTTTACAACTGATGGAAAATTCAGTATTAAGAAGGCCTATTTACATGGTATTCCAAGGTATCCTAAAGCCCAATGGAAATCACTAGTCATGTTGACTGAATTATGCCAAAACATCAATTCATATTATGGATGACAGTACAAAAAAGGCTAGCTACTGTCGACAGATTGGCAAAATAGGGAGTTCAGGTGCCACAATCATGTGTGTTATGTGAAAGTGATATAGAGGAAACACATGATCACCTGTTTTTTGACTACTCCTACTCACAAAGATTATGGAAAGGAATGCTAAGTTGGCTAAGGTATCAAAGAAGTGTCATAAACTGGGAAGCTGAAGTAAGTGGTTAACAGCCAATGCTAACAATAGGAACCCAAGGAAAATAATTCAAGGAGTTGTGTTTGCAACAGTGGTGTATCATATCTGGATGGAACGAAATGATAAAAGATTTCAGAACCAGAAAAGAGAGGCCAAAGGCAGAGCTAAAGACATCACAATCCAAGTGCACATAACAGGACAACAGAAATGTAAATGGAAACCTGTATTGGCTACACTGAATAGTTATCCTACTTTGTAATTCATAGTAAATAGGATAGAGGAAAGATCCACGCTTGTTATAAGTGGTCTTTGATAGGCAACCTCAGGGTTATATAGTTTCTTATTTTATTGGTTTAATCTTGAGACCTGCTACTGGAGTCAAAAAGTGCAGGTGATGTAAATTGAAAAACTGGTTGAAATAAAATTTTACTTTCGACCAAAAAAAAATTAGAGTTGGAATTAAAAGTCAATATTATATAGCTAATTGGAGATGAAGTAATTAGAATTGGAGTTAAAAATCAAAGTAGAAGAAAGAACAAAAAAAAAGAAGGCAAAACCTATACCTAACGTTGGAGTTGGAAGTGGCAGGAGGAAAAAAGGAATGAAGACATAGATTATAGGTTAGGAGATTTGGATTATAATAACAAAACAAAAAAGTAAAGGGTAAAATAGAATTATAAAGTAATAAGTTTGGGCATAATTGGAAAAAAAATAGGAAACAATCCCACCACACCAAATCGGTTGTTTTAAAAAATGGGACTTTTCATTATTCTGGAATAATAGATTTAATAATACAATACAACCAAATTTAACTAAACAATCAAAACAAACATTATTTCAGAATAACAATACAATACGATACAATGGGCAACAACCATCCAAACAAGCTGTTAAGTTCCTTGATGAGAAGGAAGAATAGCTAAAGATGAGTAAAGAAAAAGCAAACAGTTTGCTTTTGGATGTTTTTGTTAATGATTTGGAGTTTTATGAAAATCTTTAACAACTAGCTTTAAGTAATATTACAGATTTCGGGTGTTTGGTATGGAGGAAAATCATAAATTCTCATTTTGTCATATTTGATTGGTTAAAAAAAATTCTCATGTTTGATTGGTCAAAAACATATTTTCACTAGAAAAATAAATTTTCTTAAAAATCAGGAAAACGGCTTGCATAATAGGCGTATGAAAATATAAATTCCATAAATGGTATTCTATGTGCTCATTGTCATTCCCCACCCACTTGCTCCCTCCATCTCACTCTATAATGTTTGTTTAGATTATATATAAATATTCCTGGGACAATATATTCTCTGCTAAAACACTAAAACATAAGTAAGAAATCCAATTATTTTCTAGGAAATCATTTCGGTTGTAGAGTTTTTCTAGCTGAAGCATCCTTTTATGATTAAGGAACAATAGTGGTGTATGTCGAGTTAAGTAGATGGAGATGAATTCTCCTTTTGAAACAGTTTAACGTTCACTATAATATTCCCAATTCTACTTCATCCATTACCTTCTTTACACAAGAATTAGTAGCAGCCAGAAAAGAGAGTATTTGTTTATCAAACAAGGCTATTAAGGAAGGGTGGGCGTCGAACGGGAGACTTTCCTGCCCTTGAACCAGTGCCCTTGTATGCACTCTAGGAGCCATATAAGATGGCGGCAAAAGATAATCTTTCTAGACATACAAATGCACTACAGTCAGACCTCTCTATAACATCCCTATATAACAGTCATTCACTATAAAAGCCAAGTTTTCTCAGAACTGATTTTTTAAGTTATATTTGACCTCTCTATAATAGATTTTTATCTATAACAACAACCATATTTATAGTAGAACGCTCTTTGTAAAATTACCCCTCTATAACAGCCATATAAAATCACTAAAATTACTAATGATAAATTTAAAAATATGCACGCAATCTTTTCCATTAAACAAAGTTTCTATCTTGCATAAGATATACGTAGAATTAAAGATTTGCACATGATATCTTTTCCAATGGACAAATTCTAAAAAATATTTAGATAGAAAATTTAATTGTTAAGGTCTTAGATTGTCTTCAAGGGAAAGCTATTGGATACCTTTTTGCTGAAATTTGGATACGAATCTTCGCCGATTCAAGCATTATATCGCTAGTAAGAGAAGGAAATCTACAAAACAAGCTATAATTACAAAAGTTCTTCCATCAATCTTGAAAGAATTCATTTTTCTACGTAGCTTTAAAATGTCTGCCTTAAGAGTTTAAATCTTTATACGTTTAGTTATGAATTTACTAATAATGTATTAGCTTTCTTCAATATTTAACTAGTGAAATATGCATATCTTTTGTGATTTTAAATTTAAATAATATTTTTATCTTTTATATGTAACATTAAAAAAGAAAAAGTAATTGATTTTTGGATAATTTTTATTTATAACAGCCAAAAAATATTTACACACCAAATGCTGTTATAGGTGTTTAACAGCCATTCACTATATAAGCTAAGAAATATCGGAACAAACGAGGCTACGAGGCTGCTATAGAGAGGGTTTGAAAAAGTTGTACTCCACTTAAAAAGACTTTCAAAAAGGTTCGGTTGACTACAATGTCATGCCATTCTTTTAAGAGGGTTAACAAAATTCTCTGGCTTAACAGGATTATTGAATTGTATAAATAGGAGATGCAGAAGATATCTAAGAGTAAATTAAAAAACCTCATTCACATCATGTAGCATCACGCTTTTACACTCCAAACGCCACTCTTTGCACATAATCAGGGCGTCGTTTGCTTGGCATGCGAAGCAATCCTGTAATCTGCAGCTCCATGACAGCCCTGCAAAACCTTGCTCTGTACAGCATTAAGTCAAGGATTTAAAATGGTTCCATTGCTCTGTACGACCACAATAACGTACACGTTATGAAAGACAAGTCATCAAAGGGAAATTCATACTGTCATTTGAATTCTTCTATTCTTTTGATTTCTATTTTTTATTCCGAGCTTTGTAAAGATCTATTTGAGCAATCCCACTATTTGATCAAGTTTTTCATCAAGTAATCGTATTTAATCTAGTAACTGATGTATTACATATCAAACAAACAATACAATTCAAAACTTCAACATTAATGCAATTTTCCCCCTCTATTTGCTAGTAATACAAATCAAACTTAACGTTTTGATCTACTTAAAATCCTATTGTTTAAGAAAGAAGCCTATAAGATGCAGAATGAGAAATTTTTATGACGCCTTCAAAGAAACTACGAGAAGTTCCTGGATGAACCCATCTGGGAGGAGGCAACACCTAATCAATTATTTTGCGATACTATACATATGCACAGGCAATCAAGAAGCCTCATTTAATTTATCCAGAATTACTTTGAACAGAAGACGAGTATTACTAGAATTCAGGAGATAGGAAGATGAAGCTCTGATCATAAAAAGGGGATATAAAGTGGCGCACAAGTTCAGAATAAGTATTGACACCATATGAGTTATGATAAATGCACAGAGAGTAATGATGCAAACACAAATGCTTAGTAGACAGCAAGAGAACTGTGTACTTCCAGATTAACGTGTCACCTGTTTTAAAGCAAAGAAATGCTGCAATTATAGCTAGACAAAGGATACTGGCTCAATGCATCAGAATTGTTTTGAGAACTGCTGGTGTCCTTTCTTTTCTTTGGTGAAGCCAACTGTTTCAATCCTTTCTTTCCTGAGCTAGAAATAGTTGCTTTAAAAGATTGAAACCAGTCATGAAGATTGATGAGATCACCATGCTCCTGCGCCAGAGTATACCTATGGGAGCATATTCAAAACACTTCAGCTCTCCAGCTAATATTCATATCACTACAAAGTTGGTAGAAAACTATATGATAGCAGTTTTTTACCTGAATAAATATGCAATCTAAAGCTTATAAATTAAGTTGCCTGTATATGATATCGGAGTAATCTTCAGCCTAATGTCATGTGAAATTAAGCACTCCAGCGAGAATAATATCTATAGAAAGCATAAAATTTACTAATGGAACATTTGAATGTGGCGACATTATAAAATTACATTTGCCCTTTTGTTTATTAATGAAAATCCTTTCAATCCAAAAAATCACCTACTGGGTTGGCACAGCAGTAAGGTGTGAAGAACGTCATTTTAGTCAAAAAAATTTCACATGAAAAATGAAATCATGTGAACCTCAAATGGATGCCAAAATTTCCTAACTAAAAACCCATTTTATGCATAATCAGAAATAAAAATCCACATGATGCATACACAGTAAAGGAGTAGCACAGGCGATGCCTTCTGATCAAAAGGCCAGAAAACTCCATAGCATGTCCTTCATGGGTATAAGAGCATAATATAATAGTGTAAAAGAACAGCAAAAGGTCCAACTAAGTAGCACAGTTCATCAGCCCACGTACAATGATGGCACTTCAATGGAGCATAAAATTATAAGCTAGCCTGCTTCCTATTTGGAAATACCATCCAACCTAAATGAGGCAAGTAAAAACTGCTATCATCCTTGTAACAATAGATGGAGGTGCGCATGTAGCTTACATTATTGAGGTGTCATGCATAGATGGTACTAGTGTACCCACACTCTTGCTGCAGCATCCACACTTGAGAATTTTGTGGAAATCCAAGAGATCAATTTGAACTCTTCTTCTCGGATCACCAACCAAAGCCTACATAGAAGCATAAAATATTGGTAAGACTAAGAAATCATTTCACAGTTTCTCAATATTACTGTTGATGTCAAAATACAGCTAAAAGTCATTTATACAATAAAATGCATGACCAAAATAGTAAAGCAAAGCACAATAACAATTTCTTCGAACTTGGAAATGACACAGAATTAAGTCTATTGACACAACCATTTGGAACTAAAAGAACATCAAACCACAGCCAACAGAAGAATTACAGCAAAATAAATTTGTTGTCAACTCAAGCATGAATAGCTGAGCGATAAAATCCCAACTGGGGGCAGCTAAGCAATTTAATATTTCATAGGAAAATCGCACTTGGATTATATCTTAATACACCTTGTTTTCTTGTCCACAACCATTGAGGGAAGAAAAAAGCGCGAAGTGAATATGCATAAAGTGAGTACCAACAGCATGAGTTATATCATTTCTTCCTTTTTCTTTTAACAATTAATTTTGTTCACAAAGAGAGCAGTGAGAGAGTGACGACTTCTATAATTTTTCATAGTATCTAAAATTGAACTATCTATATTCTGGCTAGAATAAGGACACAATACAAAGGCCATCCTGAAATTTGGCTGCAATATAAATGTCTACAATGTAATTAGTGACAAGCTTTAAATGGTGAAAGAACAGTGTTCACCTTCAGACAGTTATAACAATTACATTCACTAGATAATCCTTGTGCATTATCGAAGAATGGATTCAGGTGATGAAGCACAACCAACATTTTAACAACTACCAAAACCTCTGAAGGAAACACAGATGTCTCTGCATTCGTGTGTTAAAAAAGTAGCCCCCAACTTTAAAAAGTATTAATGCTCATATCTTCAAACCAAGCCGAGGAAACTTAACTGATTGGAGTTTGTCAACATCCCTGAAGCAAACAATTTCATGAAATGGGACACACTCAATGGGCTGCATATTCTCCCTGTTTCCATAAGCAGATCATTATAAAAGGCAAGAAGTGGTAAAGAACTTTTTATAAACAAAAAAAATTCAAAAGACTTTGTTGTTTCAATAACCACGGTACTTGTCCTTACACACAACAGTATGCACCTTACAAAAATAATATATCTAAGATGAGATCCACCTAAACCCAGATATATTAACTAAATATTAACGGGCCTCAAAAGGGAACCCTGGGAAAGGAGGCACAGGGAATGTACTCCAAAGCAATAAAGGGGTCTGCATCCTGGGCTACTCTGGACATGCCCCCCCTCCCACACACCCCAACTCCCAACCCATGCTACAAATATTCTGACATAACTGCTGGCCCTTTTCCATGGACTCAAGATACCCATGTATTGTGGATTCACACACCTGCTCCGACAGCTAAGCGACCCCATGATTGAGCACACCTTCAGAGAGCAGAATAAACACCTCAGCCAAACATGGAAGTGAAATGAAGCAACCTAATACTACTAATAGTCTAATGTTTATGTTCCTCCTTTATTTGACTCAACAGTAGACAAACTAAGAACTAATTTTGATAGATGCATAAATATATGACTACTCTGAGAAAGCACGGGAGAAAATATTATTATTCACATATCTTAACAATGATAAATATATATATATATATATATATATATATATATATATATATATATATATAATACATGTCCTACTCCTAATACATATGGGATTAAAGTTATTTAATACTATTTAACTACCAAACTAACACTCCCCCTCAAGCTGGTGCATAAAAATCATATGTACCGAGCTTGTTACATATATAACTAATACGAGGACCAGTGAGGGACTTGGTGAAAATATCAGCAAGCTGATCATTCGACTTCACAAATTTTGTAGCAATATTTCTTGAGAGAATCTTTTCTCTGATGAAGTGACAACCAATCTCAATGTGTTTAGTCCTCTCATGGAACACCAGATTTGATGCAATATGAAGGGCAGCTTAATTATCGCACACAAGTTCCATCTGGTTGACGTCACCAAATACTGCTTAAGCAACTGTTTGATCCAAATTAGCTCACATGTCGCCATAGCCATCGCTCGATATTCTGCTTCTACACTAGACCGAGCAACCACATTCTGTTCCTTGCTCTTCAAAGACACCAAATTTCCTCCTACTAAGACACAATATCAAGACGTAGAACGTCTATCAGAAGGTGATCCTGCCCAATCAGCATCTGAGTAACCAACGATCTGCTCATGGCCTCGATCCTCAAACAATAAACCTTTGCCTGGAGCTGATTTAATATACCGAAGAATGCGAACAACTGCATCAAATGACTATCACACAGAGAATCCATAAACTGACTCACAACACTCACAGGAAAGGAAATGTCAGGTTTTGTAACTGTAAGGTAAATTAATTTACCAACCAACCGCCTATATCTTGCAGGATCGCTAAGAGGCTCCCCTTGTCCTGATAGAAGTTTAGAATTCGGATCCATCGGAGTGTTAACAGGTCTACAACCTATCATTCCTGTCTCCTCAAGAATATCTAAGGCATACTTCCGTTGTGAGATCACAATACCTGAGCTAGACTGAGCAACCTCAATACCTAGAAAATACTTTAGCTTGCCCCCAGGTCCTTAGTCTGAAAGTGTTGAGAGAGATGTTGCTTCAATTTAGTAATACCATCGTCATCATTGCCGGTAATAACAATATCATCAACATAGACTACCAAATAAATATAGAGACTCGAAGCAGAGTGCCGATAAAACACAGAGTGATCAGCTTCACTCTGAATCATGCCAAACTCCTGGATAATTGTGCTGAACTTACCAAACCAGGCTCGAGGAGACTGCTTTAGACCATAAAGTGACCGGCGCAAGCGACATACAAGGCCACGAGACTCCCCTGAGCAACAAACCCAGGTGGTTGCTCCATATAAACTTCATCCTCAAGGTCACCGTGTAAAAAAAGCATTCTTAATGTCCAGGTGATAGAGAGGCCAATGGCGAACAGCAGTCAAGGCTAGAAAAAGGCGGACTGATGCTACCTTAGCCACGGGAGAGAAGATATCACTGTAATCGAGCCCAAATATCTGAGTATATCCCTTGGCAACAAGATGGGCCTTAAGGCGATCAATCTTGCCATCCGGACCAACCTTGACTGCATATACCCAGCGACAACCAACAGTAGATTTACCAGAAGGAAAAGGAACGAGCTCCCAAGTACCACTCGTATGTAAAGCAGACATCTCGTCAGTCATAACCTGTCTCCATCCTGGATGAGACAATGCTTCACCTGTAAACTTAAGGATGGAAACAGAGGACAAAGAAGATAATAAAGCATAATAGGGTGATGACAAACGATGATAACTTAAACCGACATAATGGGGATTAGGATTAAGGGTGGTCTGTATACCTTTCCGAAGTGCAATCGGTGTACTAGGAAGAGACAAGTCCGCAGTAGGAGCAGGGTCAGGTGCAGGACGTGAATCAGTTGGGCCTGATGCTAGGTGCGGACGATGATGATATGTCAAGAGCGGTGTTACTGTGGCGGGGAGTCTAGGAGAAGCCACACTAGACTCCCCAACGGTTAGAATGGGTAAGACTTCTGTGGCGGAAGGTGAAGGAGGAGCAATAGTAAAATCCTTAAAGGTCAGTATAGGTAAGACCTCAGGTATATCAAGGTGGTCAGAATGGTCAGAAGAGGTAAAGATAGGTTTAGACTCAAAAAATGTGACGTCAGATAACATAAAGTACCTAGGAAGATCAGGTGAGTAACAACGATATCCCTTCTGAACACGAGAATAACCAAGGAAGACACACTTGAGAGCACGAGGAGCTAACTTATCTTTCCCAGGGGCTAAGTTATGAACGAAACAAGTGCTCCCAAAAACACGAGGGGGTTGGGGGACCTTGTGGTGGTGTTGGTTTTTGCACAACACCGATGTAAATTGGTTTGACGAAAAACAGCCCTAAAAAGGTTGTCGGAATTGAATCACGGCGACTTTTTTTCGGCTGGGTTTTCTTTCCCGGATGTTTTCTCAATGCTGCTCTGATACCATGTGAGAATGCACGGGAGAAAAATATGATATTATTCACATGTGTTAAACACGATGAGTCCTATATATATATATATATATATATATATATATATATATATATACACACACATAACAAGTCCTACTCCTAATACATATGGGATTAGAGTTATTTACTCCTAGGACCCCATATATAAGAATGAACAAAAGAAAAACAGACTCTGCATGACTCTCAATACTAGGAGGAAAGGAGGCTCGGGTATGTTTCCCGAGCTGACATGACTCACACTCTAAAGTAGACAAACTAGGCACCATCTTCTGAAGTTTGGATAAGCTTGGATGTCCTAAACGTCTGTGAATTAGGTCCGGAGGATATGTAACTAGACATGCCTGGGAGGAATTGAGTGAGTTAAGGTAGTAAAGGCCTTCTGATTCAAGTCATGTTCCAATCGNAATAACTACAGAACGATCTTTCATTAAGAAAATCCAAGTACATCTTGAATGATCATCAATGAAACTAACAAAATAACGAAATCCCAAGGTTGAATTGACTCTACTAGGACCCCATATATCAGAATGAACTAAAGAAAAAACAAACTCTGCATGACTCTCAATACTACGAGGAAAGGAGGCTCGGGTATGTTTCCCGAAATGACATGACTCACACTCTAATGTAGATAAACTAGACAAACTAGGCACCATCTTCTGAAGCTTAGGATAAACTTGGATGTCCTAAACGTCTATGAATTAGGTCCGGAGGATCTGTAACTAGACATGCCTTGGAGGAATTGAGTGAGTTAAGGTAGTAAAGGCCTTCTGATTCAAGTCATGTTCCAATCGTCTGTCCCGTACTGCGGTCCTGCATAATAAAAGAATCATCAATAAAATATATACCACAATGGAGGGCACGAGTCAAACGACTAACAGATGCAAGAATAAAAGGACAACTAGGGACATAAAGAACGGAATCTAGAGTGACAGATGGTAGGGGATTCGCTTGTCCAACACCTTTTGCTTTAGTTTGAGACCCATTGGCTAAAGTAACAGTGGGAAGAGACTGTGAATACGCAATATTTGACAAAAGTGATTTATTACCAGAGATATGATTAGAAGCGGCTGAGTCCACAACCCATTGTCCAAGAGTACTAGACTGGGAAACACAAGCAAAAGAATTACCAGCAACAGAAGTATCAGTCTGAGCAACAGAGGCTACTTGTGGAGATGTCTGCTTACTTGCTCGATACTGAAGGAACTCATTATACTCCCCTTCAAATAAAGAAAATCACTGGTTACCTGTAGTCTCGGTCTGAGCAACATAAGCATTTTTGGGTGGACGACCATGTAAAGAATAGCACACGTCACAAGTGTGTCCAAGTTTATGACAATAAGAGCACTTGGGTCTAGATCTTCCAAAACGACCTCCTCCTCGTCTATTCTCCATAGTTTGAAATGCCCGATTGTCCACTGACTGGGATACGATAACAGATGAGTCAAGTGTCTGTGATGAGCTCACTGGGTGACTTGGTGCTGCAGCAAGGCAAAGTAATCGAGAGAATAATTCATCAACTGTGGGGACAGTCGGACTAGCCAAAATCTGATCGTGTACTGAGTCAAGATCATTAGGAAGTCCAGCAAGAGTAAGAACTAGAAACATCTTTTGTCGCTGCTCTTGTTGCCTTTCAACACTAGCAGAAACTGGCATCAACTTCTCAAATTCCTCCATGACTGCCTGTACTTGTCCCAAGAAAGTAGACATATCTAATTCATGTTTCTTTAAATTTGTCATCCATGATATCACATCATAGAAACGAGATATGTCATTAGTGTATAAAGTGCGAGCCTTTTCCCAAACCAAATAACATGTCTGGAATGGACGAAACAAGTGCATCAACTTGGAATCAATAGATCGGCACAGAATACTGCATAATTGAGCATCGATCTTCTCCCAATGTGCTTTGTCCTTTTCATCTCCTTCGCTAGACTTCTTGATTAAATGATCTTGAACACCTTGACCTTTACACCACAGCTCGACAGACGAAGCCCAAGTTAAGTAGTTTGAACTTCCCATTAAAGGTTCTGAGGTAATCATAATACTGGAACTGCCAGAGCCCGGGTTTTTAGACCCGAAAATATCAACTCCCAAAGACATCATTGGATTGAAGAGAGGTCTATAAAATTATAACCAAATAACAGAAAGAATCAATTGAAAATTTCCTGAAACAGACGAAGGAGACATTGTTTTTTTTTTTTTGCCGAAAAATTACTGTAGCTGCCGGAAGAAAACAGTGTAGTCACTGGAAAAACTCAAAGTTGTTAGAATCAAACAAAAACAGTATGGGTACGACCCAACTGTTCTGTACTCGCCGGCATGTGAGCTCACCCGCTCGCCGGAACCCTATCTTCTGACGGCGCGTGTGGAAGGTTCTGCCAGAGATGTTTTCTAGGGTTTGGTCACCGGACGATGACGGATCTTGTGGTGTGTTGGATTTTTGCACAACACTGACGGGGAGAGAGATAACGTAACCAGCTTTGCAAAAGTTCCCGGATGTATCTCACCACTACGGCTCTGATACCATATGAGAAAGCACGAGAAAAAATATTATTATTCACATGTCTTAACAATGATACAATGAGCTATATATATATATATATATATATATATATATATAACTACCAAACTATTTAATACTATTTATTTAATACTATTTAACTACCAAACTAACAACTACTAGTAGTACTACTATGCTTTGTTAATTGTTGCAAGCACAAAAAGAGGACCACCGGATACTGTCCTTTTCTCGATTCCCTTGTTGTCCAATGCTTCCACACTCTTTAAAACCACCAAACTGCACTATTATAACTTCTACCCTTCAATAATGGACTGACATGTGCATTGCTCCTAATTGAAAACAGCAAAACATTTCAATGTATAGCACCCACCATCTGGGACCTTCAGCTGATTCTAAGCAGTCTTCAAATTATCCAAAGCACGCTCTTTTTGAAGTCAAAATCTCACAAAAGAGAGTCCATGATGATCTGGTTGAAATGTGCCGCTACACATGGAAGAACCAATAAACCAGATGCAGCGGCAGCACCGCTAACCTATAGCTGTTCCACTACTGCTACCATTACAGGCAGAGTTTTCTGGCTTGCAAGTTGCAACAAGTAAAAGGGCACTAATATTTTGCATCGTTGAAAAAGATGATTTAGTACCCCCTGAAATAGTGGAGTCACGGTACTGCCGGAGCACTAAAAGCAAAGAGGAAGAGAAGCACTCCTAATAAAACAACCAGAAGAATAACTGTTGGTTTAACCAATAAAAGCAGTGACCTTGATTTGCTCTTGTATAAATGGGGTCTTAGGAGGAGAAAACCCAGCATCGACAAAACATTTTTTATAGGAAAACTCAGCAACGCCCTTGAAACATTTTCATATAGCCTTCCCTATGATACCAGGAACTAGAAGTGTGAGAAAAAGGCTTCTGAACAACTGCTCAGCTTGGAAAGAAACCAAACCCCGACAGCAATGAGCTTAAAGACTGAAAAAGGTACAATCAGAATTCTTAGATGGTTTGATGTTAAAGTCATCGAAAGAGCAAGAGCAGCACTTCCTCCTGCTAGCCGAGTTAGTGCCACTCAACTAGATAAGTGTTGTGGGCATACAGGTAAGTATAGCTAACCCTGTGACAAATTCTTGAGGTTGAAGCTTTAACAGCAAAATAATCTTGGAAAATTGAGGAGTGAAGAACAAAATAGAAACAAAAACTACATTGGAAGAGAAGAATTGGAGTTCACACAAGACCAGAAAGCCCAACAGGCGAAGCTTCAGCAGCAGCACCTACTTCATCACTGATATTATTAATATGCCAAAGGTGCTAATTTGGATAGATAATATATATCAGCAAGACAACCAAGTGTAGGATTAACAAGCCCTAATGCTACTCCACCAATAAAAGCTAAAGGCAAAAGGCTGTTTGATGCAAAACAAGGAATTGGGATTAACCCTATTAGGTTTTTTTGGCAGTAGCCCGCGAAAGCTGGTCTCCACTACCAATTTCCCTTATTTAAGTGTTGTGAACTGGCTCTGACTAAATTTATTTATTGAAAAGAACAATCATACCAAAATTAATTTCACTTCATTATGAAGTCATATGTTCACTAACTCTTTCTTTGAGCCATAAACCTTAAAAATACAGTCAAAGGCCAATCAAACATGAAGAGAATCTTAAAGGTACATGATGATCATCACTTCTTAAGTTTTTTTTCCTCATCACTTGTTAAGTTCTTCATTTTCTTCACAGGTTTGAGTGCTCAGAAGTACAGCATTGATTAGCATGTTTAGAAAAGTAATTTCCTCAGAAGAATTGTCTGCACACACGAGATATAAAAACTCTGAAACTTAGATCAAGAAGCACCAATCTGGCGAGGAACTTGCACATTTTCTGCAATAGATGCTAAACGGTTATAACAATACTGACGGCATTACAAAAGTCATTACTCATTAGGGATCAAGTGACTATCCGGAGCTGAGTTTCTGACAAGAGATCAAGGATTAACAAGAATAAGTAGACACTAAAATGGCATGTCAAATCATTCTCTCTTTTGTCCTTTTCTTTATCTTTTAAGTTCTAGATAGTTCTTTCACTTCACTAGACACAATGGGACACAACTTCCAAATTCTATGCATCTTCTCTTCTAGTAGAAATTAATATATTAAACATCTGGAATGGATAAAGTTGATTGATTTTTCTTTTTTTTGAAACATAATATTCAGTCATTTATAGCAAACGAAAGTCATCAAACAAGTTTCCAATCTCTTTTCTTTTACCATTTTAACGATTCCTAAATCGGGAGGAGGAGATTATCAGCTTGGATTTAGACGTAGTTTTTTTCCCCACACTTTTACACTATTTTAAAACTATGAAATGACGGAGTATGCTCCTTCATTTTACCGTTCCACAGGCTAAAATTTCCCCTCTTCCCACAAATCGCACATCTATAAGAATACACATGTAATGTCTTTTCTAACGTACCTTAAATTCCAAATTTAGAGTGTCTATGTATTTTGCATGACTGACATTACACTAGCACCTTTTCCTATATTGCTTCGATGATCCCTAAGATTATTGATGATTCTTTATAACACCTGCATTCTAGGCCAAATATTATATAAACAAAAATAGGCGAACCTTTAACAGATTCTAAGTTTTCTGCTGGCTAAAGATCATATTCTGCTTAACGATGTTAGATAACAACGAACTTCTCTTCAAAGGACAGGAAAGCAAGCAAGATAAACAGTATATCCAACAACACTATTCACATTATCAAGCACTGCACTGATAACTGGTAGAGGATATAGGTTTGTGGTGCCATACCTTATCAAGTTAGTTGCCAAAGTCATAGCTTTTTCACTTGATGTGCATGCATTTAGACTACGTCGATTGACATGCCTCCTGTTACACAAGTCATAACATAGTTAATTTTATATTAAATTGATGAAGTTAGTTAATTTTATAAGTATAATAATCATTAAGATCACATCTTCCAAGAGTATCGAAGTATCTGTGCCTTGTACTAAGTTTGGGTCTACAAATTGGTAGGGAAGTAGCATCCTAGGAACCTTAACTCTATTCAAGGAAAATGATGAAGCTTTGGAATCTCCAAGAAGGCCATTAAAAAGATCTCAACCTAAACTGCTAAAGAGTTGTAGAACAAGGTCATTGGACATCAAGTGCAAATAAAGAAGTTGTTAATTGGGATGAAGAGCTCAAGGCTAAAGATAAGAATTAGCTATAGGTTATAATTATTTTATGACTCAAATTCAAGCTGAAGAAGTGGATTGGAGCCCCTTGAGCTTGATTTGGTAATTTTAGCATAGTTGTTCAACAGTTTCGCATGACTCGTAGTGAAGCTGGTCACTCTATGTTTTATTGACATTTTGCTCCAAATTTGTGTATTTATTTGGTAGTTTATATTGACGATATCATTATTACCGGCAACGATTGGGATGGTATCACTAGTTTGAAGTTACATTTCTTTCAGCACTTCCAAATTAAGGATCTGGGTAAATTGAAGTATTTTCTAGCTATTGAGGTCGCTCAGTTTCTAGCTTAGGTTTTTTTATTTCACATCAGAAGTATGCCTTAGACATTCTTAAGGAGACATGAATGACGGGTTGTAGACCATCGACACTCGTATGGATCTGAATGCTAAACTTCTACATGGACAGAGAAAGCTTCTTAATGATCCTGCAAGATATAGGCGCTCGTTGGTAAGTTAAATTACCTCAAAGTGACTAGACCTGACTTTTCTTGTCCCGTGAGTGTTGTAAGTCAGTTTATGGACTCTCTCTATTATATTCATTATGATGCAGTTGTCGGAATTCTTCGGTATATAAAATCAGCCCCAGGCACAAAGACTGTTGTTCGAGGATCGAGGCCATGAGCAGATAGTTGGAGATACACATATACAAAATGTCCAGATATTATATTTTAGTATGAGGTAGTTTCGTGGCCTGGAAGAGCAAGAAACAGAATGTGGTTGCTCGATCTAGTGCAGAAGCAGAATATCAAGCAACGATTATTGCAACGTGTGAGCTAGTTTGGATCAAAGAATTGAAGTTCTGAGAAATCAGTCAGATGGAACTTGTGTGTGATAATCAAGTTGCCCTTCATATTGCATTAAATCTGGTGTTCCATGAGAGGACTAAACATTGAGATTGACTGTCACTTCGCTAGAGAAAAGATACTCTCAGTAGATATTGTTACGAAGTTTGTAAAGTCAAATGATTAGCTTGCAAATGTTTTCGCCAAGTCTCTCACTGATCCTCGTATTAGTTATATTTGTATCAAGCTTGGTACATATGACTTATATGCACCGGCTTGAGAGAGAGTGTTAAAGAATGAAAGTATATAGGAGACTTAGTCCCACATTAGAATAGGAGTAGTATATGTTGTGTAGAATATAGATTTAAATAGGGCTTCTTGTATTGTATCAATAATATATTTTCTCCCGTGCCTTCTCACACATGTTGCCAAAGGACAACAAATATGCTGGATGCAAAATCTTATAAATAAATGACTGTTGACCTAATTAGTCCAATCCAACCTATGTTGCATGAGGATACAATACACAGTATTATGAATTTACAACATACTTCAATATATCTATTAATTCTGCTCTGCGACTTTTGTCACCCTGTGATACCATTTGAAACTGCAGTTCCTTAATCTTTTCACGAACCTGAAGCAATGACCAGAACATTACAGAATAAGGCTGAGCATGGCAGAACACAAAAATCAACTTGTAGTAAGGATTAGAATAATGATGGTAAGATTTAACTGCTGAGAAATCCAAACTTGGTAAATCAAACAAATAAGTCAATCTGAATAAACTTCCACCCTAGGACGAGCTGCCTAGTTGCCTTCCCTACCAGACGAGCAAATTAAATAACCAACTTACTGTTGGGAAAATCCCATTCAAACAGTATGATGTTGGAATATCGAAAATGTAAGAGCAGTTGATGTTAAAGAGGGATTCACTTGTTTTCTTTTGATGACCGAGAAATCCCCCAGTGCCAATGAAGCATGGAAGCTGGATTGACATTTTAAACAAGAATAATTCTTTCTTTCTTTTCTCTTCAACTAAAGAGCAGGCTAAGCAAGCACCTCTATAAAGTATCTACATGCACTGGACTTCTGCTGTTACATTATAATACCATTCATTGTCTGTGTTACCTTCTTACCATCACCAGCAACAACAACAACAAATCCAGTGTACTCCCATAAGTGGGTCTGGGTAGGGTAGAGTGTACGCAAACCTTACCCTTACGTTGTGAAGATTGAGAGGTGGTTTACGATAGACCCTCGGCTCAAGGCTCTTCTTATCATACGATAAGAAGAAAAATATACATGTCATACTCCTTATCTATGCACTGCATAATGTATACCCAGCTATCTAAATCTTATTAATTGTTAATATAGAAATCATTTTTTGATAACAGTGGTGTCTGTATCAGCTTGTGCGCACCTCGACTAATTCCACGAAATACTTGCTCCCTCCCACCAGCATAGGCACCGGGTAACTCTACATAGAGATCTCTACATGGGACATGAAGACCAAGGTCCATGTAGAATCTCTCATGAATTTATAACTATTCTAAAGGGATACACCTTAAGAAAATGGTGTTAAAGATCGATGTGATTGGGAAGTTTCTTGGTGGTAGTCTGGCACACAGCGAAACTCAAATGCTTTATTGCTGGCTCATCAGCAACTGGGACTGAAGGCAATAACTACTATAAATATAATAGTCCCTAACACCATTTTTAAGGAGAATTTTTGCCTGTAATACTGATATCTAATATTTAATTACATTCTCCGCCTTTATTCTAGAAACATAAACGCCATATGTGATCCACAAGTGCCTTGTTCACCAAGAAGTAAAATGTGGGTGTCAGCTTAAAATGAACTAGTTAATACCTCAGTTGTCCCATCAGTGAGCCTCTCCCAGCTCTTAAGCAACTGAGATAACTTTGCAGCTGGTAAATCCCTGGCAAGAAAATTCAAGTATCAAACAGATGAGTTGGAGAGAGAGGCAGGATGCAGAAAATGATTTACAGGAACCTTTTATCAGTTCAAAGTTAGCTAATACTATTGGATAATTCACATCCACAATTACTAGAATCCTCAAATGTTTTGCTTCACAACAAATACAGAACCTTTTGACTTTTCCTGTTACACAATCTTCTGAAGAATCTAATTTTGAATGCAGTAGTCTTCTCCTTACAGCAATACATAAAGGAAATTACTATAAGTGGTAGATGCATAAACATTAAATTCATTCTTGTCACCAGATGAAATCCCATCTATTAGGGTTTTCTTTGTTTCTTTACCCTGTGAAGATACAACATGTTAATCCTAAATGTTGGAAATAACCTATGGCATAACTACCTCATTTTGCGGATGACCTGATTTGTAAAATCAGCCTTTTTCTGTCTGTAATGGTGATGATTATTTGACAACAAGCTCATGCCTTTTGCACTTTCAAGGTTATTATCAGATGACCTGGAGTTGTACAAGCCAGGATCCAATGCCTCCCAATACAAGTCCATCAGTGCAACTCTATGATATCTTCCAGCTTCATGCAAGCACTAAAATAACAATTTAGCTATGAAATAGAACTCATTTCCAAGGGTTGCACAAATAACTAGATTTTCATTCAATAGCCACACTAGAGCATGTTCATGATATTCAAGCAGCAAAGAGAAACAATCAGGACACAACAAAGAGATCTACTTAATAATAAGCTTTCAAACCTTGGAACTTCTATATAATCTCAACTTCCAAAGAACACAAAATGAAAAGAGATAATGCTATATTAAGAAGGTGGTTGGTCTTGTAGCAAAGAGGCTCAAGCTTTGATCTTTCTTCTGGTAGCAACCACAAAAAGTAGAAATTATAGCAGCAAAAGCAAATCCAGAAAAGCTATAGCCGTTAATTTGAAGTACTCAACTTAGAAAACAAGGTTTCGACTCCAAAACTACAGTATTTCGATAAATTGTCAACTGGGCAACTTTGAGGTAGCATGATACCCATCTGAAGCACTTCAAGAATGCTACTGGAAGGTGGAGAGAAATGAATCAGTTCCTAGAACCAACTATATAGCCATAATTCAAAATCAAAATGATGAAGACATTCTAACTATATATGATTCATGACATTTAACAACATTAATGAAAAGTTAGACTTAGAGGATAATTGGCCATATCGTATCTTCACCAGATTTAGGTACATGGGCATGAATTACATTAATCTTAAAGAACAAAAAAATAGTAAAGACCTTACCATAAGGAGAGATCTCCATACTTTCTGCACTCTCTGCAGTTCCGATAATCCAAGGGCTAGAGTCATAACATTTGGTTCTACATGATTATTCCTGCTAATAGATGAATATGGCTATTTAAGAGACATACTCCTGACATATGCTCCACTTAGCAACCATCACAAAAGAAAAAGGGAAATCATGACACAAACTGTTGTCCTGAAAAAGTCCTGTACGATGGAAGATCGAAAGCATGCTTAACCAATGCCTCTGGCAATTTAGCAAGTTCCTCACTGCACGACCTCTGAAATGGTTAACAATCATAGGTGAAAAAAGTTATAAGATTTTGTCACTTCAAGGGATGCAGCTGAAGCAACTTGATCTGCACATGGTTACTAATGTGAATGTAAAACCACCACGAAACATATTCAAGCAAAAGCATCAATCACATGTCTTCTTTATCATCCAACATTAAATTGGCATCATATATAAGACCTTCAGTCGTTAAGGTACATCAAGGCCACAGTCTGAAGAATTTCAACGAGGTTAGGATGTTTCACCAACTCAATCTCAAGAAATGGCAAAGGCTCTCTTAAGAACTAAGAAAATATATGGACTAAATCCAATAAAGTTCAAAGTACTTGCAGTTTGAACAGCTAACAGAACAGTAGCTTTCCCTTACCTCTTTAAGGCAAAATTCCATGCCTCATTTAGACCCAGACACCAACCAAACAGCAAAAAACAGAAATCTGTAAATGTAAAGTTAATGAAACAGTTCTCACCTTATTATCTCCGTCATCAACTGAAAACTTGAGCATGAAGCTAAGAGGCTCAACGGAAAGTTGTTGGACAATTGCCATCTGGAAAAAAACTTAGTCACTTGTAAGTAGATGACTGGACGAGTACATATAGATATCCAATCAAAGCAAATCCAATAAACATGTGATGGGAGTAGTCTTATTATACAAGTACAAGAAAAAAAGACAAAAATATGTCACAGACCTTTAAGGCTCTAACAAATGAAGTGATTGTTCCTTCTTGTTTTAAAAAATAGTTCCTCAATAGAGTCGCCACCTTGTGGCCAACACTAAAGCCAACACAATCTTTTACCAGAACAGCCTCAATAATGGCATCCATCCTTTCAGCAGGTGATTTCAAGGTGAATATCGATGTAGACAAATGTTGAAGTGCACGTGAACTGAGCAAATTTCTGGGAGCATCAACACTTGTTGCAACACCAGCTATTAAGATGATTGGAATCTTAACAGCCCATTCACTGATAAAAGAAATTATTATTGGCAAGTCTAACTATGCAGAAGTGTTACAACATGTAATAATACCAACTGCATAATTTGGTAACTGAACTCTAAAATGAAAAAGAAATGAGGTAAAGCTCCACCGGAAATCATGCATTGATGTAGTTAATATGTGCATCATCAGAAATATCTTGTAGCAGGTACAACAAAATCAGCTTTATCCCTAAACAGGAAAATTCCTGCCTTAAACTAGGCCAACAGTTCATTCTTCTTTCCTAAATATTCGAGGTTATATATAAGCAATGCATATCTGCGACTTGCAGCCTCATATTTTTGCTCCCAAACTTCGTCAGCGGTGCCGCCAAACTCCATTCTAAATTAGGACATTATTATTGCACGAACCTTTTGGCATATTAAATGCACCTTTTGAAAAACAACATGGACATTAATATGATATATGCAAGAAGTTCCAACTATGAGCTATAAGATGACATATGCCCCCTCCACCCACCTAGATTTATGGCCTACTGTTCCAAAACCAACACACATTTCAATCTATCATAAATAAGCAATCTAACCCCAGCTACGATTAATTAAAATAATAAAATACACCATCTGGAATTAGTTTTGTGCAAGCCGTTTTAATAAGGCAATGATATTAAAATGAGACACGTTGAACAATTAAATGACAGTACCTCAACATATTGATGAAATCTGATAAGAGAGTCCCAGAGCACCTCTCCAAATCCTCAATAATCACTACCACGGGGTTCTCATACTTCCCGTGGCCGTTATACCATGATGCTAAAAGGGACATTTCAGCTGCCTTAGAACCAAAACCATGAGCGAAGGTTATTGTAAAAGATAAACATCATATAAAAATGTAGTTTAAATCAATAATGCACATCATTAAAAACTTCTGCCTGCTTACTTCTACATCAACCATAAGCAATTGTCTCAGCAACCCTCTTAGACAACCCCCAATGCCATTCTTGGTAGAAAAATCCAACGAGGAAATATTCGCAACATGGTATCCACGAGATTTCAAGTTTAAACCAAGGTCAGCAAAAGTTAATATGTCATCGACAGTTTCGATATTCTCTGCAAGCATTGACATCAAAAGTCGATATTCAAGTTTCAAAAGTATAGTGATTAAGAACTGTGAACCAAATAGGCATCAACTGGTTAATTTTAATCAGTTTTTCCACCAGCACATTGCATATTAATCTGAGGGAGTGGGATGGTAATGGAATGATCTGGTAATAACACAGAAGAGTCGGAAAAAATGCCACATATTTACTGGATAAATTGAGATAGAAGATCTTTTTCAAAAACAAATCAAGAGATTTTACAAAAAATTGGTTACAATCAGCAGAACTTGAGGGTTTAGCAATCTATATATCTAATCATCTAAAAGTGGATGACAACAAAAGAAAGAAATGAAAGAGGGACTTACTGGTGAAAACCAGACCAGTGAAGAGCTTTTTAACTATACCGCCATTATTAACAAAAGGGTATGGAAGGCTTGAAGTTGATGGATCAACGGGCCCTCTACATGAACAAATCTCATCAAAAGATTCACAAACCCATTGTCCGATTTCATCAAACACATCGGCATTTATACTCGTCAAAACATCCTAAAAATTCAATTTTTTCAAACAGCAAGAAACAGGTAATTTAGCATCATCTGCATTATACTCAATTGGACTAATGAAATTATCGAACACCCCTTGAAGTGAAATTAAATAAGGGGAAGAAAAACCTTGATATTGGATTCAATTTTTGACCACACACAGTGGAAAGCTTCCATTTTCAAGTCATCACTGGTATTTTCATTGCTTGATGATACTTTGGGTGAAGAATCAAGTCTTCTCTTCCGGGATTTTCCAGGAGATTTTAAGGTAGATTCTGAAGACTTTGATGATTTGTGCAGCACGAAGTATGGCTGTAGATTTTTCGCAAGAGCAAACACCCAAAAACAGTTACAATCTCTAAATAAAGTTTATAAAAAAGGCGGAAATTGGATAAAGTGATATTGCTATGAACCTGAAGATTGTTTTCTGCAAATGGGTCTGTGAGAGGATCAGTATTTGGTGAATCCATCTCTGAGAGAGAACAGACATTAGTATTCAGAGACTGATTTAGGTTTTCTTAGCCGGTTCAGACTTCTACTAAAGTTCACAGTGAGTTCAAGTAAACAACAACTAAATCACGTAACAAGTAAGCAAGCAACAAGTACTGATTTCCAATATAAATTGAAATAAAGAGAAGAACCAACGAAACACATCATATTAGTGAAAACATCATCATTTGAGCAATTAGCTTTTTCAGACCCGTCAATATAAACTCGAAAAAATTGCCAGCTTAATTTAAGCTTAAATAATCAAATATCAAAATATTTACCAAAAATAAAAATTCAGAATGTAAAGCAGGAAAGATGGTATCTGTTGCGGCCGGTTGTGGTAGAAGGGACCCTATATGAGGGGGATGCTCTCTGGTGTTGTAGATTTTGAAGGGCTGCTCTTTTCTTCTTCTTTTTTTTCCAAATTGAAGGTCTGCTCTTTGTTGTGCTAATTTTTGGGTTGAAGAAGGATAAATGAAAAGGAGGGCATCATTATGTTTTTTTAATTTTACGTATTTATTTTTTCTTTTTTTTATTCTTTGGCGGGAAAAGAACCGGCGGCACTCTGTAGCTCGGGCTAAGGGTCTAAAGTTGGGCTTTGGGTTTTGACGAACTATAGGTAAAAATAGCACGGTATAGCCAGTTTTCGGACTGATCAATCAAAAATAGCCAGCGTTTACCAAGTTAATGAAAAATAGTCACTATTTTGCTGCAATAGAGACCGGTCCAGCATAATATACTGGAGTTCGGTGCACTTGTGTATGAACTCCAGCATATTATGCTGGACCGGTATACTTTGCTGGCTCCAGTATAATATACTGGAGACTGGAGCACCGGTGCTCCAAACTCCAGTATATTATACTGGACCAATATACTTGCTGGAACTCCAGTATATTATGCTGGAGTTCTAGTGTACTTATGCTGGAACTCCATCATATTATGCTGGAGTTCCAGCATACTTATTCTGGAACTCCAGTATAATATGCCGGAGTTCAAGTATACTTATGCTGGAACTCCAGCATAATATACTGGAGTATTTTCTGGGTTTTGAACAGTATTTTCGCTCAGATTTATCTTTATATATAAAGTGGCTAAATTTCGATTACTTTTGAAATTGGGCTATTTTGAACGACCAGTTGTAAATCTGGCTATTTTTAAAATTTACCCGAACTATAGTGATACTGAGTGGGCGTTTGGACATAAGAATTGTAAAATTCAAAAAAAAAAGGTGAAAAAAAATTTCAAGTGAAAATGGTATTTGAAATTTTGAGTTGTGCTTGGACATGAATATAATTTTGGGTTGTTTTTAAACTTTTGTGAGTGACTTGAGTGAAAATTTTGAAAGCAGGTTTTTTGAGTTTTTCAGATTTTCGAAAATTTTCAAAATTCATCTTCAAGTGTAAATTGAAAATTTTATGAACAAACGCTGATAAAAGTGAAATATTTTTGAAAAAAAAGGAAAATTTTCTTATGTCCAAACGGGCTCTAAGCGGGCATTTGGACATAAGAATTGTAAAATTCCAAAAAAAAAGTGAAAAAAAAAATCAATTGAAAATGGTATTTGAAAATTAGAATTATGTTTGGACATGAATATAATTTTAGGTTGTTTTTGAAGTTTTGAGAGAGGATTTTGAAAAACAACTTTTTGAAGTTTTTCAAATTTTCGAAAAATTTCAAAATGCATTTTCAAGTAAAATTGAAATTTTTTATGACCAAACGCTGATTTTAAAAAAAAAAGTAAAAATTTTCGTATGTCCAAATGGGCTCTAACATCTTGTTTGGAATTTTGTTACATGTCGTTTTATAATGTATCGTATTGCATTGTATTGTATTGTTTGATAAATACAATGTTTAGATAGATCTTGTTGTTTGCCATCGTTTCACGATGTCATGCACCAACAATATGAAGAATAAACTTGCAACATTACTAAGAAAAAATAGGGTACGAAGTAGAATTATTAAATAAAAAAGCAGGATAAAGGATAAAATATGATTATTTAATAATAAAGAAGAACAAGATGAGAGAAAAAAGCAAGAAAATGACGCCACCACACCAAATCCGTCTTTCCATAAAGTGACACTTTTCGTCGTTACGTAACGATATACAATAAAAATTAAGTAACAATCAAAACAAACATTGTGTTTAAAGTAACAATACAATATGTAACAACCATCCAAACAAGCTGTAATTTACAAATTTACTTACCCTAATTATTGGGTTTTTAACTTAATTATTATAAGTTGATATATAATTTATATTTTAATGTTAATTAACCTGCAGCTCTATAACATACCCACCCCATGTCTCTCAGCCAACCACCCATGTACTCATGTTCAAAAACCACAATTTTCTTCCTGTTTTCAATTATTCAAAATCCTTTCCTTTTATCTTTCAATTAGTTTGCTCTTTCTCTCTTTATTATTTTTTTTTTGGTCAAAAGAGAAGCTAATATATAAATTTAAATATTGTTCGTACAACTAGACATGCTCCTCTGAGCATCAAAGTTGTCAAGGTTGGCCAAAACATTAGAAACATCACTAGATATAGATCTACGATATGTAGTTCCAGAAATATCCAACACAAGACTAGGCAAAATAGCAGATGGTGGTAGTACTAAAACAGTAGGACCACCAATTTTTCCAATTTTCATTCTTTCCTTAGCTTGCAAGTCAACCACTTTGTTTTGCTCCCAAAAATACTATTTAATGTTGGATCTCCTATTTGCTGCCTTAGTATCCTGCAATCATGTAAGATAGATGTATATTGTGGGGAGTTAGTTGTGAACAAGTTAATAATCTATGTTGAGTCTGTATCGACCTCCATAGGATGAAAGCCACGAGCATAAGCTAATTTTAGACCATGTAGAAGTGATATGAGCTCGCTATATGTATGATCAGATTGAGGAATCTGCATGTAATAGCCTAGCACCCAATCCCCTTTGCTATTTCGAAAAACTCCGCCAATACCTCCAGCTCAAACTTTAAATGCTCCATCAATATTGAGTTTGAAGTGATTTTGTTTTGGAGGATGCCATTTGACGTGGGGAGCTAGAGGTGGTTTGGTGCTGCTGTCATTTCTTGATAGAGCAACATACTGTGTAGCTCGCATATGTACCAGATCAAAAGAAGCAGAGTTTGTGAGGTTATTGTAAAGGTTGTTATTTGTAGTGATCCAAATATGTCAAAGACAAAAGGGAAATAGTTCTTTCCATATGTAAATTGCATTTGGTAATGTAAGAGAGATGTTTGCAATATTGTCCAATCAGTTTTGGTAATTACCAAAGGTGTGAATACTAATAATATCAAGTCTTTGCCAAAAAGATTTAACAACCACACTGTCAATAAAAATATGATCAAGGGTTTCTTCACAAGATCTGCAGGTATCTATCAATATTAATGCTTATTGAGTTTAAGTAAACTCGGATTGGTAAACGATTATGATAACATAACCAAATGAAGAATTTTATTTTATTTGGTGTCTTGAGCTTCCAAATCCAAGAGAAGTTAAGAGTGTTTGGGTGGCTAGATTTGATAAATGTCCGAGCAGTTTTTGAGCTGAAACAACTGGTGTTTGTTAGTTTCCAAATTGGCCTATCTTCATGTTCAGGGAATTATGGTAGTTGAGCACTATTAATAGTGTTAAGTAAGTGGGATGGTAGGTCAAAAGAGATATTTTTGAGGTTCCATGATCCATTTTCATTAAGGTCTGCAATATTGAGAGCATGTTTAGTAGCAGTTAAAGGACCCTCTATAGTAGCTCTAATAGTGGGATTATTGGGTAACCATCGGGTATGCCAAAAATTAATGCTTTTACCATTTTCAATGATCCAACGGATGCCTTGATTACAAAAGTACATACCTTAAGAATGTTGCTCCAGCAATTAAATCAGCTCTACGTTGATGGGTATGAGTTTGGGATTGAAAGTTTATATGAGAGCAACAATATTTATTAATGAGGACTCGGGCCCAAAGGGAATGAGGGTTTCAAAAAGTTGCATGCAAGGTTCGTGTGAAGACTTAAATTCTTGTTCTCAGCACGACTATACCTAATCCACCATTATTCTTAGTATCAGCCACGGTATGCCAATTAACAAGGTGAAGCTTTGATTTTACAGCAATAGATCCCTATATGAGATTACGCTGGGTTCGATCAATGAGTCTATTGAATTTTTTAGGGAGTTTGTGGTATTGCATAATATGATTTGGAATACTATTAAGATAGAGGTAGCGAGGGTAGTGCGACCTGCCATATTAAGGAATCTAATCTTCCAACATGTAAGCTCCTTATTCATGTTATCAATGATGAACCGGAAGTCTCTTGACTTTGGTTTTGGTGAAAAATGGAAAAGCCTAAGTATCTACCAAAAGTGGAACATTGCTTAACTTGGAGGGCATGATAGAGAATTTCCCTGATGGTGGGATCACAATTTGCAGAGAAAAGGACTTTTGATTTATCAAGGTTTATTTTTTGACCCGACAATGCGCAAAAAGAATTCATAATTCTCAAAATAGTGTTTAGATCATCTGCAAAGAAAATATGGGATAACTGGGGACCAGTCTTACTAATTTTGATAGGGTTCTAATTACCTAGATCCACCGATGACAGATATTTCTAGAGACCATTTCTAAGCAGAGTAGAAAGGTGTAGGGAGACATGGGAACTCCTTATCTGATGCCTCTACTAGGGCAAAAAAAACCAGTTTTACTTCCATTGATAAGGATAGACATAGTGGAGGATGTAATACAATACATAATAAGTTTAATAAGATTCTGAGGGGATTGTAAAAAAGTGAGAGTGCGATGTATGAAAGACTATTCCAATCGATCAAAAGCTTTTTCAAGGTCGACTTTAAGAATCATGTTAGCTTTTGAACCTTTCATCTCTTGGTAGTGGTTCACAACTTCTTGAACAATGATCACACAGTCGGCCGCTCTTCTATTCTTCAAGAAACTAGCTTGATGGGGACCAATAAGCTTGTCTAAAAGGGGTTTAATACGGTTTGCAATAACTTTTGTGACAAGTTTATAGACAATATTGCAAAGGCCAATGGGTCTAAAGTTCTTTATATTATTGGCATTTTCGAATTTTGGGATGAGACACAAATAAGTACGGTTTAGTCCCGGAGGGATGGTACTAGTGGTGAAAATATTGTGGTAGAGTGACAGGACAGAGGGACCAATAATTTTCCAGTATTTCTTATAGAAAAAAAGGTGTAAACCATCTGATCCGGGTGCTTTGAAGGGCTTAAAAGATTTTAAAACCTCTAAGATTTTATGGTCTTTTCCTAAATGTATTTTGTCTGAATCTGTGAGAATGGAAAAAAGGATAATGATTGTAGTGATTAGCAGCGTCAAGATGAACAGTGGAATACAAGGCTTTGAAGCAGTTGAAAATACGGGCTTCTATATCAGCTTGGTCAAAATGAAGTTACCAGTATCATCTATAAAAGAGATAATACAGTTTCTTCTTCTTCGATTAAT